TTTTTTTTCCATTTCTTTTGCTAGTGCTATAACAAGGAAATTTTGTTTGTACATGATTAATGTTTATTGATTTTTGATAGCCGAAGATTTTCTTATGTTTGTTTTTATTTTTTATTAGGATTTACGGGAAGGCCAAGGTTTTGTTCTTGCTATCCGGAAGATAATAAATCTCATAAATCACATTGTTCTTTTTTTCAGTGATCTCTCTTATAACAAATTTACTTCGACAAATGTTCAGAGCACTGGTTGTCAGTCACGAAACACGTAAGTGTGCTTCTATTCTTATACAAAATAATTATAAGTTTACAACTAATGAGAAAACACTATCCAATCTCTTTTTTCCCTGTGCAGAAACCTGTTTGCAAGCTCTTCACAAGATAATAATTCGTAAGTTTTTCTTCTTTGAGTTGGATTGTTGCTTGAATTGTCTAATATTCTAATGACCACTGAGCTTCTTATTGTTTTAGCAATGGAGCTGTTTCATGTTTATCGGGCTCCACTTGTGGAAAACGTGAGTTGAAATCTCGCCTTCATAGCATTGTTTTTATTTAGGAGAGATTGGAAAAATGGTAAAATATTAGAAATTATATTGTATGTGTTATGTAAGTGCAAGAGTAATGAGTGCATTCAAGATCTGTTAGTGGGCTTTCAGACATGGAAAAAAACTAGGTCATAGCCTAGTAAGACTCCATAGCTAGTTATAATTGAGTCTGATTTTGCTATTTAGAAGTGAAGTGGCAATAGGTCTAAAAATAATTTTGCAAGAATACATTAATCAGATCTATTCACTTGAATTATATTTTAATTGAAACCAATATGGTGTTATTCTTGCAGCTCGGTACTTTCTATATATCAATTGCGGTGGGGGCCAAGTATCAATTAATGGAACAAAGACATTTGAAGCAGACATAAATACTGGAAAATCATCGTTGTTTGCTTCATCTGGGGCTGGAAATTGGGGATTTAGCAACACTGGAAATTTTATGGATGATGATCGCACGACAGATGACTTTATTGCACTAAATTCATCAACTCTCTCAATGCCAAATCCTGAACTGTACATGAAAGCGCGCATTTCTCCAATCTCTCTTACTTATTATGCATATTGCATGGGAAATGGAAACTACACAGTAAGCCTTCATTTTGCTGAGGTTGTGTTTACTAGTGACAAATCGTACAGAAGCCTTGGTAGACGCATATTTGATGTCTACGTTCAGGTAAATAGATATCGTGGCTCTCCTCATAACAAAATTATCTGATACTTTGTCCCACTTCATATATTTGTATAAAATTTTGCTATATTGTTGGCTTCCGCTGGTACTGAAGTCAATGATAACTTCATTACCTTGAAAGTTCCTTGATTCCTCTCCAATATGCAGGGAAAGCTGGAGTTGAAGGATTTTAATATTGCAGATGCAGCAGGTAGTGCTGGCAAACCTATTGTGAAGAAATTCACTGTTTCTGTGACTAACGGTACTATAGAGATCCGCTTATTTTGGGCTGGGAAGGGAACAAATGCAATCCCTGTGAGAGGAAGTTACGGTCCTTTAATTTCAGCCATTTCTGTTGATCCTGGTAGGTAGACCCTTTTTTTTTTCTTCTCAATTCAAGGTTCATTATATTCTTTTCATCTACCCTGTATTTGATGAGAAGTTTTTGGTTATTTATATAGTCTGTAACCTTATTAAACCATGGGTTCAGTGTAATTATTATTTTTCTTCACTCCAAGCAGACTTTGTGCCACCATCAGAAGGTGGAAAATCCATATCTCCCGGTGCAGTGGTTGGAATTGTGTTTGCTGTGGCCTTTGTTATCTTCTTGGTTCTTGGAGTCCTGTGGTGGAGAGGCTGCCTAAGAAAGAAAAGCACACTAGAACAAGGTAACTTCAAAGCATGTGTCGTAAGATTCTTACTGTTATCAATTGAACTTAGCCATTCCACTATCTCAGACTTTTTCAACCCATCTCTTAGTTCTAACGTTAGCTACATATGCAAAGTTTTGGATATTGAAAACGTCCACATTATTATGCTGATTGAAAATGAATTCAACTTATGTTGAATGGGAGGAACTATGATGAACTAATGCTCTCAAAACTTCTCAGATATTGTATTATGAGAAAAACTCTTTTTCACTTAAATATGCTTCTTTTGCAGAGTTGGCGGGTCTAGATCTAGGAACAGGTTCATTTTCATTGAGACAAATCAGAGCTGCCACTAACAATTTTGATGCTGTCAATAAGATCGGAGAAGGTGGTTTTGGTCCTGTTTACAAGGTGTTACTGTCGTTTGGATTCCTTTATTTCTGAATTTTCGTTCATAGATTTTATAGTTTTGGTGTGAAGTTTTGTGCTTGGAAATGCAGGGTGTTCTTGCAGATGGCACTGTAATTGCAGTGAAGCAACTTTCTTCAAAATCGAAGCAAGGAAATCGTGAATTCGTGAATGAGATAGGCATGATATCTGCATTGCAGCACCCTCATCTAGTGAAGCTCTATGGATGTTGTATTGAAGGAAATCAACTTTTGCTGGTGTATGAGTACCTGGAAAATAATAGCCTTGCTCGTGCCTTATTCGGTAAATATTTCCTTACTACTTTTGAGTGCTATTGGTCTTCAGAAAATTTTTGAATATATTGGTGATTACATTTATGGATGTAAATAATCATCTCTGCATATTTGGTATACTGAAGGACCTCAAGAATGTCAACTGAAATTGGATTGGCCAACAAGGCACAAGATTTGTGTTGGTATAGCCAGAGGTTTAGCATATCTTCACGAGGAGTCCAGATTAAAGATCGTCCACAGAGACATCAAAGCTACCAATGTTTTGCTAGATAAAAATCTAAACCCCAAGATTTCCGACTTCGGTTTGGCCAAGCTTGATGAAGAAGAAAATACACACATCAGCACCCGGGTCGCTGGAACCTTGTGAGTCACCATGGGGGAAATTTGCTTCCATTTTCTTATTTTATTTTGCTATGGTCTCACAATTCTTAACAATATAGAGAAATGATGAGGGGGAGGTTTCAAGCGTAATTGATTACTCAAGGGGAATGTTAGAACAACATAGATATTATCACATTGAATCTGGAAGGGTGTATTTTCTTTAAATCTAATTTCTCCGACGAATATAAGATCCACATATTCACACCATCATGCCATTCATTATTTTGCAGCGGGTATATGGCACCAGAATATGCAATGCGAGGCTACTTAACTGACAAAGCAGATGTTTACAGCTTCGGTATCGTGGCGTTAGAAATAGTCAGTGGTCGAAGCAACACAAGTTACCGAACCAAGGACGATTGCTTTTACCTTCTTGACCATGTGAGTTAACTTCATCTTTTACTCGTGAAAATCGAAGTTGTCGTGCTGTATACTATTTCCTTTGTTTAGATTTTGCTTATTGCTTCTCAAACATGATCTTTTATACTAGGAAATGAAACCTGGTATTAGTGCTAGCAGACTGAAGTCAATTTTTATCCTCTATTCTCAGGCTAATACTTTAAAAGAGAAAGACAGTTTAATGGAGCTAGTCGATCCACGGTTAGGCTCTGACTTCAACAGGACAGAGGCGATCGCGATGATCAATGTTGCTCTCCAATGCACCAACGTCGTTTCTGCAGACAGACCCGCCATGTCATCAGTGGTGAGCATGCTGGAAGGGAAGGTTGCTGTGAAGGAGGTGGTTTCAGACCCCAGTATCTCAAAACAAGATATGAATGCGATGTGGAGCCAGATTTATCGCCAGAAAGGACAAACGACAGGCGAGAGCCAGACGCAAAGTATGTCGATGGATGGACCATGGACTGGTTCTTCAACAAATGCCAGTGATCTCTATCCCATCAACATGGATTCTAAATACTTGGAGAATAGGAACTAGGATTCATAATATGATATTACTTTATCCTGAATGGTTTTTACTCACATGTAATATGTTTTGCCTTCAAATGCTTTAATTAATGTTATTTTTTTTCTCTTTTTGTTTTCTGTTCTACAAATTTAAGTGGCAGTACCAAGCCAAATGGCCAATTTCTTGTCGATTATTGTATATTTGAAATTCTTATTTAATTAGTTGTTGAAAGTGATGTTTAAAATGTTCAAGCTACTATTTTGGGTCTTTGAGCTTATTAAAATGTTGGGGTTGTCTTTGGTCTCATCTCATAGATTCAAGTGTATTTGGGAGTGATTTTGGACTTCTCTTTTTATTGATATTGATTGGAAAATTTAAAATTTGATTTTAGAAAAAATTTAAAATAACTTTAAAAATCAATTTTTAAAGTATCACTTTGATGGTACTTTTGAAAAACCAATTATACTTAAATCTTTTTTTTCAAAATCACTTGTTCTACTATCATTCCTAAACTCATCCTACGTGTTTGTCTAAAATAGTAGCAAATGTTAACTTTGGGGAGAAACGATGCAATTGGGTATAAATTGTAAAGCTTATCTAGCTCGTAAAAATTGTTACTCTTTTCAACTTCAGGGGTACAAGATTTTTTTTTTGTCTTAAAGTTTTTAATGTCAAAAATTTTTGTCAAGTTTTTTAATGGTAATGATAGAATCCAAAATTGATTAAGGTTTATGAACTCAAAATAAAAACAAAAAATTAAAATTTAGAAATCAAATTAGAAACTAGAGCAAACCAAAAATTGAAGATGTTGGCAGCTAGAAATACAATAATTGCTTCTTTCCTCATTCTTTGTTCAGTTCCAAGTCTTGCTTTTTGGCTCTTAGACGATTCAATTACTTGTCAAGATTTTGGCCGACTAACTATATATATTGTTAAACTTATCATCATTGACTAAAAATGTAAAGTTGAAAAATATTAAAATGTAAAGGTCTAAATAATAGGAATGAAGAAATTAAAAATATATTAAAATTAGAGGCTAAAGCATATACTTAGCCTAAAAAAAGAAGATGGCAATATATCTATTTTAACTCTACTTAATTCAATGATTCATTTTAGAAAGTTACTCCCCGCAACTTCTAGAAAATAATTTCTTGAGGTTTTTGAAGTATATTTTTTCATAATATAAAATGTTACATTGGATTATTAGCTTTAATTCAATATTTGAAAATAATTAATAGATTGACGGCTAGCATTTTTAATATTTCTTTCTTAAAACTACGAACAAATACTTTAAGCTCCCTTTGATAATTGTTTAAAAAAAAACAAAACAAAACAAAACTCCTTGGATAATAATTCTATTTTTTATTTTATATTTTTTAAAATTATATTGCTTGATTACTCACCATTCTTTTTATATGTTACATCATCTTTCATATAAACACATTTGAATTTTTAGCCAAATTTCAAAAACAAACACAAAATTTAATAGAAGCAAATTCTGGAAGTCTCTGTTAAAAGTGAAGGAATTACCTCGTACTGGGTTTCATCTCGACAAGCTTTCCATTCTCCAACGCCAGCTCTGCATCAGAGAACAACAATTTCCCATAAAGTCCGGCCGGCCACTGTAGGGCTGAAATTAAATAGAGATGCTGCGTGTGGAGCTAATTTGATTGGGTTAGGCTCCATTCTTCATGATGAATCTGGCTGTTTATTGGCCGCAGGATGTCAGTCAGAACATTTTCCTTACACACCTTTACTAGCTTCTGGCCATTCGTGAAGGTCTCTACTTTGTAATTTCTCTAGGCTATTCGTATTTAACAATTGAATCGGACTGTCTCACCGTCATTTCTCTTCTTCGAGGTGTGATTCGGAAACCCTCGATCGTGCACGGGTTTGGATTCACGACATCGATGCTCTTGCTCTCGATTTAGATGTCTGCAGCTTCATGCATGTTCTTCAAGAAAGTTCTTCCCCTCTTGTCGCCCTTGTGGCAGTTGATCTTAATTAAAGCACTATTTACTCCAAAAAAAAACACAAAATTTTAAAATTTGTAGTTATTAAATTTCTCACAATTTATAATAATTAAGAGTATTAAGTCCTTTCTTTCTTTCTCTTTTTCTTCCCTCACTTTATTTTCTTAAAAGAAAAGGAAAAGTTTCATCTACTTTGTTGCAGCCTTTATCTTATATGTGTGGATGTACCTTTCAAGTTTAAGGACCTTGAGGTTATTGAATACCCTAAAAATGAATAATTTTTTCGAGTATAAAGTCTACTTACCACTCTTGTATTTGATGTAAGCTTCTATTACTTTAATGGTGGTTATAGGGAAGAAAGGGTGATTCAAACGCTTCTCTTCGTTTGGAGAATCCCTCCAACTGAGTCTCACAAGTTGTGACCCGAGATTTCCCTCGTAAGTATCTCCAAGTTTCAGAAAGAAAAACAAGTTTCACGTTTAACATGCTCGTGTTTGTTTCCTACTACCCCAACACCAATCTTTATATATCTCGCTCTTGCCACATCTGATTCTTTCAAGTTCCTCACACCATCGAGAGAGACGCAACACGTTGCGTCTCAAATCATAGCTATAGTTATTTTTGAAGAGTGTAGAAGTTCTAAAAGAATAACTAAAACCCATGAAGAAGTTTCTCAAAGCTATGGATAATATAGATAAGAAAACTAATAGAAGATGGAATTAGAGCTATCTTATTTTGTCGCTATATAAAAAAATAACTAAAACCTATTTTCAGCGATATCGGATTATGTCGCTGAAAATTACTTTTAGCGACAGACCGACGATGTCGCTAAAACTTTAAACGACGAGTTATCTGCGACGTTCTCAGCAACGAACCGGCTCTTGTCGTTGAAAGTTTTAGCGATAAATTGAGGTTTTTAGCGACATTTTTTGCGTGTCTCTGAAACTCCTTTTTTGAGCACTAAGTATTTATATAGTTGGTACATTAAATTTGTATTTATTCTCTATGTTGAAACAGGTAAAATTGAAGATGTTGGCAGCTAGAAATACAATAATTGCTTCTTTCCTCATTCTTTGTTCAGTTCCAAGTCTTGCTTTTGGATCTCCTCTGTTACCTCCTGATGAAGGTGAGTATCTTCATGCTTAATTAATCATTAACTTACATTAATTTTAGATATAATAATTCTTTTTAAGTGTATCATATTCTAAATTAGTATATAAAATAAGTAAACCAAAAAAAAAGAGGAAATTATTATGAGTAACCAAATTAATTATCTGATTCGTAAATTTATCACACATTAATAATTTGTAAATATGATATTTTCTTTCTCGTGTAAGAATGATTTACCATTTTTTGTAAGTATATCAATATGGAGTATATCACCAATATATTATATATGTGTGTCATTAATGAAATAAATGAATGAGAGACTAATATAAAGTAGTAAGGATATACCATTTACACACGTAATTTGTATACCTAATATGAAATATATTGTCGAAGATCTTTTACATTTGTGCTATTTTTATAAAATATTTTAGGTTAAACGTCTTTGGTTTTTGTAGTTTCATTAAAGTAACGATTTAGTCCTTGAATTTTAGTTTGTAACGATTTAGTCCATATACTTTCAAACTGTTAACAACTTAGTCCTCAAACTTTAATATGTAACTGTGGAGTATTTATCAATAATTTAAATTGATTTAAATCAAAAATTAAATTTTAGAATTTTAGATTTGAATTTTGAATTTTGAATTGGGAGAGTAGTTCTCTCTCACAAATCTCTCTCCTGTTTCGGTATCACAGTAGGAGTGTGCCATTTGGTACGTGTAATATTGTGAAACTGGGAGAGAATTAGAGAGTTATTGTGAGATTCCTATCATCGTCGAGCGAAATGATTTAGGCTGTGGAAAATGAGATTTTTTTGTTCGTGACTGATCTCTTATTTTTCTTGGATTTCGTTGTACGCTACAAGAAGTAAGTAATTGTTCCATGAAAAAACTTACGGTAACAATTTAGTCCTTGTTGTTTAATATTTGTAACGATCTTGTCCTTTATCGTGATTTCTTTTTTGTTAAATGTCTTATATATATAGATCAAAAAACCCGTTGAGTGACCAAATATATTTTTAAATTACAAAGGCTAAATCGTTATACGATACTTAATTTCGATAAGATTTTTTACTATAAGAACTAAATTATTACACATTTTAAACTATCAAGACTATGTTATATACTAAAATTTAAAGACTAAATTGTTACTAATTTAAAAATAAATCAAATTATTATCAACTAAAGACTAAATCGTTATTCGCTAAAGTTTAGTAAAAATAGAGACACCTTTGAACTGATATTCTACAATGGGAGAATCTTGCAGTCGAAGGTTTGAGATATGTGGGGAAGACACTGGGGAAGAGGGACTGGAATTTCAGTGCAGATCCATGCAGTGGACAATTTGGTTGGGTTTCTCAAAACGGCGGCGTTCCAGAGTTCAGAAATAACGTCACCTGCAATTGCACATTTCTTAATGCTACCGTCTGCCACGTCACCCATATGTATGCTCCCTCTCAAGTCTCAACTGACCACCAAAATGGAATTAAATAGAAAAATAAAAAATGCAGCTTTTTTTTCTTTCTTCTTTTTTTTTTTTTTCCTTTTCACGTTTACTCCTAAACTTATCAAGTTTTATCGAGCTTATCATTTATCAAATTAGATCCACATGGGTGCTGCAATCCTTATTTGAGATTAATATGTGGTGCAATTTTTTATTTTATATTAGATTTTTCCTTGAAAATTTTTTATGAGCATTTAGATAAATGTAATATTATAACTCGTCTCAGTGGTAAATATTGGTTCAATAAATTAAGTTGAGAAAGTGATTAATTTGCCACTTTCCTATCTTAATTTTTTATTCGGTTTATTCAACTCGATGTTTAAATTGAAAATAATAAAATTTGGAGATTTTTGGGGTTTTTTATTATTAAAATTTGTATATAAATGTCCCAATGTTATGCATTAATATAACATTTATTTTGGGCCGATAAAATCATAAATTTTCCTTAAAAAAAATTAAAAAGATAAAACTGAAATTATCAATTCATTCAGTTTCGGATTTGAGGATAAGTTTTTATTTAGTCACTAAGTTTTAAAAACTGACAATTTGATCTTCGAATCTTTAAAAAATAGTTATAAGAGATGTCTAGAGTTGAACTTCTATTAATGTCACTAAAATACTCTTCAGTGTGTCGATATGTTGTTGTTGATTCTATCAAAGTAACCCTCCTTTCTCGGCTCCTCCTAACGCTTAATAGAAAAAAATGTCTGGTAAATTTATAATAGTATAAAAATAATATATTAAAACTATATTTTAAACATCTAGACTAAACTGTAATCTTTTCTCAAAAAAAAAAAAAAAAAAAAAAAAAAGGACTAAAATACTTTGAACAGTTATGGACGTTATGGTTATGGTTATGATTTGTAGATGCTTTCTCGAACAAACTTCCATCTCGAATTTTGGCTTTCCAATCGGTAGTGAGCTCTGATTTTGAAATTTTTTTGGGAGCTGCAGAATCCTCAATTCACAGAGTTTGCCAGGCACGCTCCCATCTCAGCTCTTCAAGTTGCCTTACCTGGAAGTACTGTACGTACTGATCTTTCTATTTTCTCTGCAATGGATTTTAATTTGGCTGTTTTCTCCTTCAATTACTCGTTTGATTTTTCTTCTATTTCAGTGATCTCGCTTGGAACTATCTTAGCGGCGAAATTCCTCCAGAATGGGGCTCCACGAAGCTTCTCGAACTGTAATCTCTCTCACTTTCTTTCAGTGTGCGTGACAGTCAAAATTTATGATCATTTCTTTCATGATTATAAATCTAAAATATCGCAGTGTCCTGCTTGGAAATCGGTTGACGGGTTCGATTCCGGATGGGATTGGAAACATCACTACTCTTAGAACTTTGTGAGTTCTGTTATGATTGACATTGACATTTGTTTAATTTCCATTTCAGTTTTTGAATAATTTGAGGAATTATGTTTCTATGGAAAGTTAATTTGTGTGCGTAGGAACTTGGAAATCAATAATCTATCAGGAAGGTTACCTTCAACACTTGGAAATTTGTTGAATTTGGAAAAATTGTAAGGCCATTTGATTTTATATTTTTGTACATTTCCCTCTTAAATTGTTGGTCGGTTGTCTATTTTGATTTAATAAATTCAGTAAAGAGCTTATTAGCACTCGTGAATCTTGATTTTACTTTATTATTATTATCCTTTTCTATTCACATTTCATACATATTGTTTTTTTAGACTTCTTGGCTCGAATAACTTTACTGGAAGGCTGCCGACGTCTCTGGGAATGCTTACCTCATTGATCACATTGTGAGCTTTCTGAACCTTATTGAGTTTTGTTTCCCATATAATTATCTCTTCTAACTTTGAATTTTTTGTTTCTTTTTCTGTTGCAATATTATAATGCAGTCGAATCAATGACAATAACTTTGAAGAACAAATACCCAGTTTCATACAGAATTGGAAAAATATTGAGAGAATGTGAGAGCTTCTCTACTTTTTCGCTTATTTAAAGCTTACCATGATAATCATCCATTATATCTCACCCGAGTAATTTAATTACGACAGAAGGATTCAGGGAAGTGGGTTGAGTGGGCCTATTCCTTCTGAAATCGGACTTCTGACCAAGTTAACCGACCTGTTAGTATATACACTTTGATTTCATGGCTCTCTTATTTCATAAAGAAAGAAAGAAAGAAAAGCTGTTTTTTTACATACACATGCAATTTCATCCTGCAGAAGAATCAGCGACTTGAATGGGGCTTCATCACCCTTTCCACCTCTTAAAAATTTGACCAATATCTCATATCTGTCAGTTCCATTGTCCCTTTATAACTTTTGTTTTTTGACCAATCTTTATAACTTGTTGAAAGCACCCCAATCTACCAGTTAGTTTTAAATTTTGTTTTTGGTTGCCTGCAGAGTATTAAGAAGTTGCAACATCATCGGAGTGCTGCCCGAATTTTTAGCTGGGATGACAACAACTTTGAAACTCTTGTCAGTATCACTTCAGTTCTCTGTCTTTTTCTACTCATAAACATGTCATTTCTAAAATCACGAGCATCTATAAAATTTCTTGAGGTTATTGGATTGACTGTATATTTCTTTTTTATTTTTTTGAGGAAAGGACTTACTATATGGTCATATTGAATCAGTGTTGCCTGGAATCTCATATTTTCATTTTAAATTCATACTGTTTATCAAATTGCAAAGGTAGAAAACACACTTTCCTTGCCTTTTTCTATCATGTATCAAGTTACCTTCCTAATTCTGGCAGACTTTCATTAAATTGGCAAAGCCTTGAGAAAATTAATCTAAAAATTTTGACAACCTTTTGAGGCTGACAGCTGAGTGCTCTTTTGATAGCTCAACTACCTTCAGTTGCTTATGCCTTTTTGATTAAAATCTCTTGCAGAGACCTCAGCTTTAACAGAATAAGTGGGCAGATTCCTACCTGGTTTCGCTCTCTTCAAAAAGCAGATAACATGTAAGGAACCTCTCCCAGAAACTTTCATTATAAGTTCATATTTTCATTCACCTTATTGCATAATACTAAGTTTTAAGAACCACAAATTGTACAACACGAACACCAAATATCTCTTTACCATGTTAGATAAAAAGAAAAAACACAAGTACCATGTTAGAGATTTAATAACATGCATAATATATAAAATTTTAATTTAATTACATAATACTAAGTTGGTAACATGCCATATTGCGTAACAAGTGATATTACAGAGTACATTATTCAACAGGAGAATTTATATTGTCAGGTAGTATCTTAATGTTCTGACTTGTGCTAATACTTACTTGTTTAGATTTTTAACTGGAAACTTGCTAAATGGTTCGGTGCCTGATTGGATGCTATTTAGTGGAAAAAGCATGTAAGTTTTCTTTGGGATGCTTACCATTTCTTGAGATTTTTAGGGGAAAAATAAGTTTATTTTGTATGCCAGTTTTGAATTTAACTTATAATATCTATGTTTCAACAGTGATCTCTCTTACAATAAATTTAAACCACCATCCACAGACTGTCAATCACGAAATACGTAAGAGTGCCTTTTTAATATATTGTTATCTGTGCTAATGTACTTTTCAATGATGCAGAGTTTCATTTTTGTTTCTCTTCTCATGCAGGAACCTGTTTGCGAGCTCTGCATCAGACAACAATTCGTAAGTTTAATTTGTTTAATTTGTTGCTATTTCACTCATATCATTGCTATACTAACTAGCAAACATCTTGTCGTATCAGCAATATTGTTTCTTGTTTGGCGGACCACACTTGTCCCAAGAGCAAGTAAAAATTTCTCATGCATGATTGATTTCATCTAGGGAGAGGATGGGATGGGTAAATTGTGTAAATGGATGTGTTTTGCCATGTTAAAAGCTAATAATATGGTGGATGTTGGTATATTATCTCATTTAAATCTCAGCTTTTTTTTAACTTAACATGTTGGAGAAAAAACATGCTGATATTTTATTTTGTTATATCAATAAGCAAAAGCATGTTGATCTTTTGCAGAAGTGTACAGTCTACATATAAATTGTGGTGGGAAAGAAGAAGTGATTAATGGTACAAAGTTTGATTGGGATGAAGATACAGGCAAGGTGTTTGTCTCAAGTAATACAAATTGGGCATTCAGCAACACTGGAATATTTCTGGACGATTCTCGAATTAAAGATACTCGAATTTCAGTTAACTATCTTGAAACAAATTCATCAAAGCTCCCTATGGTAGATTCCAAACTGTATGAGACTGCTCGTATTTCTCCAATGACTCTTACGTATTATGTGTATTGTATGGGGAACGGGAACTACACTATAAGCCTCCATTTTGCCGAAATTACAATAACAAATGATCAAACGTTTAACAGCCTTGGAAGACGCATTTTTGATATTTATGTGCAGGTAAACAATGACATTTCTTTCTCCACTTAAAAGACTAATATTTTCTTAACTCCAAAAACTTAGCATGAAAAAGCTGCTGCTTATTGAATTCGTTATTCAAGTATGAATATTTCTCAATATTAGCTAAAAAGTTCCTTGTTTCAAATCCAACATTGCAGGGGAGGCTGGTGCTGAAGGATTTTAATATTGTAGATGCTGCAGGTGGTGCTGGTAAACCTGTCACAAAGAAGATTTCCATTCCTGTTACTAGTAATACCATCGATATCCGGTTTTATTGGGCTGGGAAGGGCACATTTTCTATCCTTTACGGTGGAGTCTATGGTCCTCTAATATCAGCCATTTCGCTAGAGCCTGGTAAGTTGATTGTCATTGTAGTTATCTGCTCTTTACAATTAAGTCTTTTCAGATCCCTTCTTGTTAGGGTGCAACCAAAATTCTAAAACAGCCAGAAAATGAAGAGGATTATGACTTTATGAGTACTAGGACAAAGTATGTCGAGAGTCAAAAAAAATTTATTGCCTCTTTCTCAAAAGAAAAAAAAAATCATATTGACCAATTTCAAAAAGATAATGTCATATACGTGGGATTTCTAATATATTTTGTCACGTACTTTATATGACTGAATGGTGGTTCATATATTGTCCATCTCTATCATCTTATTATACCAAAAATTTATGTTACCACTAGCTGTCTTCACTTGAAGCAGACTTTGATCCTCCATCAGAAGGTCGAAGTGCCTTACCAGTAGGTGCAATACTTGGAATTGTAGCTGCAATCGTCCTTGGTATAGTTTCAGTTCTTGGAATTCTATGGTGGAGATGTTGTCTTGGATGGAAAAGTACACTTCATCACGGTAATTTAATAAATATAGTTTTCACTGGTAAACTTGTGGGTATTATGTGTTAAAACTTATTGTTGGGATACTTTTTTTTAAGTCAAATTGTTGTGGTACTCAAAGATCAAAATATCGGTTTTGATAGAAAAGCAATATTATTATGAGTTCATAGTGCGAGCATGGTGTAGTTTGAGATTCTATTTATCTGGGATAATGGGCAAACATGGAGGACTAACAATTTTAATTCTTTTTGGTATGGGGTAAAATAGGCACATTTTGTTGGTTAACCGTTTTTTCATTTGTACGTGCTTCTTGTACAGATTTAAAGGGTCTAGATTTGCAAACTGGTTCATTCACATTAAGGCAAATCAAAGCTGCCACTAATAACTTTGACGATTCCAATAAGATTGGAGAAGGTGGTTTTGGTCCTGTTTACAAGGTGTTTTCCCAATTCAAAACGGTTATATTAGTCTTTTCTTTTTGAGATTTCTACGGTTCTAATGTGAGTGTTTCTACGGGAATGCAGGGTTTCCTCTTGGATGGCACCATGATTGCAGTGAAGCAACTTTCCCCCAAGTCAAGGCAAGGAATGCACGAGTTTGTGAATGAAATAGGAATGATATCTGCTTTGCACCACCCAAATCTAGTTAAACTTTATGGTTGTTGCATTGAAGGGAATCAACTTCTGCTCGTGTATGAATATATGGAAAATAATTGCCTTGCTCGAGCTATGTTTGGTAAGTTATTGACCAAGTAATCTTTATGAAAACTCTGAATACAATTCGTGAATTCATACACGGGATGTATTGACCATATCCACTAATATTATGAATTGAAGGACCAGAAGACACGCAATTGAGATTAGATTGGCCAACAAGACAGAAAATTTGTATTGGTATAGCCAAAGGCTTGGCTTATCTTCATGAGGAATCAAGATTGAAGATCGTCCACAGAGATATCAAAGCGACTAATGTATTGTTAGATAAAAATCTCGACCCCAAGATATCCGACTTTGGTCTGGCCAAGCTTGAAGAAGAAGGAGAAACCCACATAAGTACTCAAGTTGCTGGAACTTTGTGAGTCGCTATGCTTAGATTATTCTTTCTGTAATAATTGATCAACTCTTTACAATTTGTGCCTATCCAACTCCAAACGGATTCCACAATGTTATCAAACCAATGACATATCTCCCTTAATAATAACTATCTAATAAATAGTTAGTCTCAGTCAAGAAATTCAGAGTTAAATTTCTTTGGATTGTTTATAGTTAAAGCTTAGACATTTTTACCCCCAAACACTATGAATTTTGTGAAGAAGTTTTTTGAGTTGAATTTTAGTTGTCCTGTAAAGGAAATCTCTAGATTATTTACTCCAGATATTTCTTTTGCAGTGGATATATTGCACCAGAGTATGCAACGCGAGGCCACTTGAGTGATAAAGCAGATGTTTATAGTTTTGGCATTGTGGCATTGGAAATAGTGAGCGGAAGGAGCAACACTAGTCACCGATCAAAGGATGATTGCTTTTATCTGCTTGATTGGGTAACACGAATTTCATTCTTACGGGAGTATAGTTTTATTGTGTTTGATTGCATTTCACCTGGCACGTCAATTTACAGTTTTCCAATTTGATATTCACTTAAAAAAGCACTTTACTTTATCATGCCTTTCAAATAGGTGATTTTCACTCAAAAAACATTTTTCAAAAGTCATCCCAAGCACTTCACTTTATCATATGCCTTTCAAATAATTGTGTTTCACTTAAAACACTCTTTTCAAAAGTCATCCCAAACCTTCTACTCAATTTATCAGATTCTGGTTGCTTAGAAATTAAACTCTCAGGAACTGTATTTATCGCTTCATTTCTGATACCTAACTTCTAGTGTCTTTAAAACCCAAAGTTGCCCTCGTTATATATTGCTTACATGTTGCGATATAGTTTATCGTTTTGCTATCACGATCATGTCATATTAACGTATGAAATGGGGAAAAAAGAGTAGCAAAATTTTGATGAGCTACTATAATACTACGTTTTCAGGCGCTTGAGTTAAAAGAGAAAGACAGTTTAATAGAGCTGGTAGATCCAAGGTTAGGCTCCAACTTTAACCATAGAGTGGCGATGGCCATGATCAATATTGCTCTCCACTGCACCAATGTGTCTCCTTCAGAAAGGCCTGCCATGTCCTCGGTGGTGAGCATGCTGGAGGGAAAAGTTGCTGTGAAGGAGTTGGTTTCACATCCAAATGACACAAGAACAGAGATGAGTGCAATGTGGACCCTTTTGTTGCAGCAGAGCCAGAAACAAAATGACAATGAGAACCAGACAGAGGTTATCTGTATGGACATGCCATCTAACAATTCTTCAATAAAATGACACAAGAACAGAGATGAGTGCAATGTGGACCCTTTTGTTGCAGCAGAGCCAGAAACAAACTGACAATGAGAAGCAGACAGAGGTTATCTGTATGGACATGCCATCTAACAATTCTTCAATAAACTACTCTCAAACTGCATCCCAAAGGACTTAAATGGTACGTGATATATCTGAACTTTGATTTGGATGTATTTGTCAATTACTCAAAAGGAATGAGGTTGTCCATTATTGACAACTGATCTGGTTAACCTTTTTCATATCTAGGTACGATTAGAACGTGGTGGGTGGTGTCGGGCACAAAGCCATCATCAACTGCAGGGAGAAGCCTTGTTTGATCTCTTGTTGAAGTGGTACTCGATTGTCTTTCATTTTAATACTTTTTACCTTCATTTATGTCTGTCCGGGAAAAAAAGAGGAAAATAAATAATTTCTAGTGAATTGACTCTTCTATTGTAATGTTTAGTAAAACTTTGGATGATAAGTTATTTAGACCATTTGTTTTAATTTCAAAGATTGTCACTCGCCAAGTAGAGAATGTAAAAAAATAAAAAGGGGAAAAGAAATTTGTGCATTTTCGTTCGTATTTCTAGGGGAAAAGCTCATTTTTCATCCCTGTTAATTGGGTGATTTCAAATTTAATCTTATAATTTTAATTTCATTCATCTAAATTTCCATGTTCGTCTCGGAATATTCGTTGAAAGTGATCTAAATTTAATTTATGATGAATTATTTGGTTAACTCAAGGAAAATAAATTTAACTTGATTGACTATTTTTAAGTTTTTTCTATTTCTAATTCGATATCTAAATCTTAAAAAATAATATTTCAAATTATTGACATGATTTGTTTTATTGGTGATTAACGGTTATGTATAGTTTACGCTTCATGAGAATAATATATAGGATTTGAAAGAAATGTTAGAGAATTGCCATGGAAAATGTAAATTTAATGTATCACTTTTTTTTAGTATAATAATTAGGGTATGGATTCGAAAAATATCATGAATGAGTATGGTTGGCAGCTACCACTTATTTTTACCGTTCTTTATAAAAACTTTTGATTTTTTTCGTTCAAAATCTTTAATAATTGCAATGAGTCCAGAATTTAGTTAAACTTTGACTACTTGAGGTATTAAAATAAGAGTTTTTGAAACTTTTGGAATTAAAGAAAGACGGGTAAATTCGTGAGATTATTATAGAAATTATAATAAAAAATGTGACAAATTTGAACACGTATGATAAGATCAAGATTTTTATAATTTGTTTTTTTTTACTTCACCATAATATTAAGATTATAAATCACATCAAAATAATTACAAATAAATATTAAAAAAAATCAAAGCGAACATAGCTAATCAAGACGCTGTGGGTTCAAAATCTCTCCCTAAATGTTATATTAAATATATATATATTAAAAAGAAATGTGTTTGAAAGTAATGGTCCCATGACAGATAAAGACAAGTTGTCTAAAGAAATAATCTCTCCCTAAATGTTATATTAAATATATATATATATTAAAAAGAAATGTGTCGAAAGTAATGGTCCCATGACAGATAAAGACAAGTTGTCTAAAGAAATGTATTTGAAAGTAATGGTCCGATAAAGACAAATTGTCTAAATATATATATATATATATATTTATTTTGAGTACACCTAAATGAATAATTGATATTGCATTTGAAGGAAGAAAACATGTTTGGTGCACCAATTCTTAGTTTAACATAGATATAATTATAAAGAAGAAAACATGCAATTCAAACTTTGTAATGATTTAAATGTTTCGTACAAAAATTCCTCAAGATATAATAAAATTTCTAAATATTGAACTTGTACGTCAATACTTTAATAAATATTTTAGAGACCAAATATATTTTTAAAATTATGGAGATTAAATTAATATTTCACTATGAACCTTTGTAATAATTAGGCGGCTATAAGTTTTAAACTATGATAATTAAATTGTTGCATTCTAAAATTCAAAGAAACATAGGTAAATTTGTGATATTAGTACAGAAATTCTAACTAAAGACGTGACAAATTTCAACACATGGGATAAAATCAAAATTATTATTATTATTTTTTGAGTTCATAAGATTAAGATGATTTATAAATCACATAAAAGATAATTAGAAATAAAAATTCAAAACGAGGTGATAGTTGGCACCTACATCAAATCATGAGAGGTCCAATAATTCAATGTGTGTGTATGTATATATATTTAAAAAGAAAATTGTTTGAAAGTAATGGCCGCTGACATATAAAGACAAATTGCCTTAAAAAATAATGTGAAACATGTCTGATATAACAAAATTTAGCATCTCCATTTTAGCTTTGTAAATATAACAAAATTTTTAGAAAAAATGGATGTCTAATAATAAAATGTCAAATTTACCCTCTTAACATTGATATACCATTGATATAGCACTGGTATATATATGTTTTGATATATACTTGATATACATCTGATTTACTACTGATATACAACTAATATATCATTGGTATAACTATGATATCTACTAATATAACTTCTTATATGCTTATATTATTTACTATTTATTGATTACCGCTAATATATGTATAATATATTATTGATATGTCTTTGATATACCACTGATATAATATTGACACCAATTGATTTACTTTCGATATATCTATGATATCTACCAATATAACTTCTAATATGGTTTATCATTGATATACATATGATATAATTATGATTTCTACTGATATAAAGTCTTATATAATTATATAATTTAATATTTATTTATCATGCTGATATAACTATGATATGTCTTTAATTTGCCATTGATATAACACTTATATATATGTGATATATACTTGATATGTCTTTCATTTACCACTTATATAACTATGATATATACTAATATAACTTCTCATATGATTACATGATTTACCACTAATATAACTTTGATACATCTGTGATATATACTTACTATGCCTCTAATTTACCATTGATATAACCATGATATCTATCGATATATAACATTGATGCATATGTGATCTACTGATATCTAGTGATATATATCAGATATCAGTTACAAGTATATTTAGTATGCCATTGATATACATTCAGATGTACATCAAATGTACATTAGAGATACATCGGATATATATTAGATAAGATATACACAGGTACATCATTAAGTATATCATAAATTAGAGGTACATAAGATGTATATTAGATGTATAATACATACATATGATGTATATCAAAGGTACATCAGATGTAGATCAGAAGTATATCAGAGATATATCAAACGTATGTCAGATATACATCTATTGTGCGTATATCAGACTTAATCGATCGGGCGTATATCAGATATTAGAATAATAAAAATTCCGAAAATAAAAATTCAAACATTTTACCATATTTACAAAATATGAAAGATGTTGATATTTTTGTAAATATTTATAAAAGTTTAGCTACCCAATATAATTTCCCTATAATTAAGGTTCGTACAATAATCATTTTATTTTCAATTGTTGGTTTTTTATTTTTAGTTTTTGAGAAAGAAGGAGGTTTGATAACCAATTTAATTTTTAATTTTTTGTTTTTCAGAAAACATATTGAAATCCTATGCAAATTAAGAAAAAAAAGTTCTAAAAACAGTTCTTTTTTTGTTTTTCAAAATTTCTTTTTTTCATTAAACACTCCACTCTTTTTTTCTTTCACATATTTATTTCCAACAAATTTATTTCTCAAATATCTCTTAAAAAATTTATTTTTCTCCCTCTCAAATTTTAAATATTTATTATTATTTCTCTATCTTCAAATTTTTTTCTCTTTATATTTATAATTTTTCATTTTATTCTAATGGATTACATTCATCTAAAATTTAATATTTTCCCGATTTTTTCTCTCTAAAATTTCTTTTATAACTTTTTTTTTTCTAATCTATTTTTCCTCTAACAATTATATCTTCTTGTTCAAATTTTTTTTTTCATTGTAACTTTTATTTTTATTTGTATTTCTAGAAATTATATTTCGAATATTATTTTTATCTCTAATTCCTTTTCTCATTATTGTCTTTTTTTTAACATATCTTTTCCTCTCAACTTTACTCTTTTTTTCTAATTTTTTTTTATCTTTTTATCTTTTAACTCTTCTTTCACTAATTGTTTTTTTTTAATCTGTTTTTTTATCTCTTAAAAAAAATTTCAAAAATTTGTTCCATATCTCTTGAAACTTGTATTTTCATGCCTCTACATTATGGATAAAAAATTTCCGTAGTTTTGGGTCCTTGTTGCAAGAATAAGAAATATATATCTTGACTATGTCCCTAATTCATATTTTAAATCATTAATATATTTTTTTATTGACATATTTATTAAATTGTGAATGAAATATTAAATATTTTTTATAACTGATTATTTATAATAGTAAACAATACTTCTAAAAATAATTAATATATATTTATTACACTTTCTTAAATTCTAAAAATAATTAAAATGAATTATAAAACCGGTAATTTTTCCCGTTAATATCCCCGTCCAATTCTTTAGCTTGGATCTCAATTCTCTGGACTGAAGAACGAGGTAGAAAGAGGGACTAAAACTTTCACGTGCACAAAAATGGGGAGAACATCCTTACTTCTGGCCCACACAATTATCATCTCTAGTCTTTATAAAATTTTCTCTCTCTAATATATATTTTTAATTTTCGAATTTTTTAAAAACTGAGACTAAACGTATATGTTTTTTGTTTCTTATTAAAACAGAAAATAAAATACTAAACCAAAAACCAAAATAATAATAATAATAATAATAATCAAGCGCTTAATTATCTCGGTTCAAAATTTGTAATGGTTTAATTGTTTGTACAATATTTCCTCAGGATATAATAAAAAGTTCCTAGTATTGTACATCAATACTTTAATATGTTTTTTAGAGACCAAATTTATTTTAAAAATCTACGAGACTAAATTAATACTTCACATTGAAGGAACTCCTTGAAGTAAGAACTAAGTGATTATAATGAGAACTGAATTGGTCGCATATGAAAATTTAAAGACTAAATTTGCTTCAAACTTTAAAGTTGGGGGCTAAAAGTTTATTTATTTATTTATGTTTTTTTTGATATTTATGTACACCTCAATTGATGTCATTGAATTCGTCTAACTCTACAATATTTGATGTCGGGACTAAATTATTGCTTGCAATATAATATATCATATACATATAAAAAAATAATATTTAAGTATTGACCAGTCACAACATTAATTTCTCGTGGAGCATCATTTGATTTTTGACAACAATGAGAATTTTCCAAAAGATCAATAATCTACTTCTTCCCGTTCTCCCTCACTTTTGTTACTTTAGAATAAAAAGTCATAGAAAGGAAAGAAAAAGTTTCATAACCTTCGCATCTCTAATAAATCTAATATATGTACAATAATATATCATGAAATGTTTGATTATTTCATGCACCAACCAATCAAGGTTTAATAGAAGTTAAAACGAGCATAACTCAACGGTTATTGAGACCTACATCCAATCAATAAGTTGTGAGTATGAAACTCTTCCCTACATGTTGTACTAAAAAAATCTAAGACCTCGTAGAAAGACGGAAGGTGACAAAGTGACAAAACAGGCTGTTCGAACTGCTTCATTGGCAGAGCCTTAGGGAAAAGCAAAAAAGGCTTCAAAGGTTACTATTTATAAAGCAAAAAAGACTATTTATTTGCAACGCTTGTCCTTCATTTCCTATATATTAAAACCTCTTTTGTCTTGGTTAAATTATAAGTTTAGTGTTGATAAAAAAAGTAATTATAAGTTTAGTCATAAAATTTTAGATCTAATAGATTTTCTTTTTTCAGTTTAATTTTATACTAATAGATCTCTAAACTTGTTTAATAAATTTATAAATATGGTGTAGATTGTTAATGATCTTGCTCTGGAATTTTGCTTTTACAATCTGTATTGAATTCTGAAATCTTTGTTGGGAGATGTAGAATTCTCAAGTCGCAGAGTTTGCCGGGCACGCTTCCATCTCAGCTCTTCAAGTTGCCCTACTTGAAGGAACTGTACGTACTCTCTATGTTTTGCTCCACAATGGAGTTTCAATTTTGTCTGATCATCCTCGAGAACTCGATTTCTTCTTCTTATATTTCAGTGATCTCACTCGGAACTATCTTAGCGGAGAAATTCCACGAGAATGGGGCTCCACGAAGCTTCTCAAAATGTAATCTCTCTTACTTTCTTCCATGACGCGCCATAATCGAAAATTAAGACCAGATCTTTATTGAATGTGAATCTAAAATATCGCAGTTCTTTGTTTGGAAATCGGTTGACGGGTTCGATTCCGGAAGAGATTGGAAACATCACTACTCTTAGAGAGTTGTGAGTTTTTGATTATCATTCGATTAATTCTCCTATTTCAGTTTTTGAATTATTCAAAGCATTGATTTGACATGGAAAGTTAATGTGCACGCGCAGGGTCTTGGAAAACAATCATTTGTCGGGGAGGTTACCTTCAGCCCTTGGAAATTTGTCGAACTTGGAAAGATTGTAAGACCACTTGAATTTATAGTTTCTTTTAGATTCTTTTCCTCTTAATTTGTTCCTCGGTTATCTACTCCGATGTAAGCATCCAGGACAGAGCTTATTTTATTGTATTGAAAAACATGAATCTTGATATTGTTTTCTGTTCGCATTTCATGTATATTATCTTCTAGTTTTCTTTCCTCGAATAACTTTACTGGCAAGCTTCCGAAGTCTCTGGGAATGCTGAAGTCATTGATCGTTCTGTAAGCTTCCTAAACCTTTTTAGTCGTCGAGTTTTGTTTCCAGTATAAATTCATATGTTAGGTTTTCTTATTGCAATATTGTAGTGGAATTCGGTGACAATAACTTTGAAGGACAAATACCAACTTTCATAAAGAATTGGATAAATATTGAGCAAATGTAAGAAGTTCTCTACTTTCTTCCTTATTTAAATTTCATCATGATAACCAACCATTATGTCTCACCCAAGTAGTTTATTGCCACAGAATAGTTTATGCAAGCGGGTTGAGTGGCCCTCTTCCTTCTGAAATCGGACTGTTGACCAAATTAATTGACCTGTTAGTATGCACGCACTTCGATTTCTTGGCTCTGTTTTTTTCATCTAGAAAGGCGAAAAAGAAATGAAAAGAAAAGAAAGCAGTGTTTTTTACAAACGCAAATTTCCTCATGCAGATCAATTAGTGACTTGAACGGAGCCTCATCATCCTTTCCACCCCTTAGTAATTTGACCAAAATCAGACAACTGTAAGTGCCTCAGTTCCTTTATAACTTGCTTGAAGCACCTGAACCAATTAATTTTGTTTTTGGTTGTCTGCAGAGTGTTAAGAAGTTGCAATATCACCGGAGTGCTGCCCGAATATTTAGATAGGATGACATCCTTGAAACTCTTGTCAGTATCACTTCTGTGCTCTGTATTTTTTTGCTCATAAACATTGCAATTTAAGAATCTTATACAGATGAAGAAGTTTTCTGCAATTGGAATTATCCAGATTTCCATGTCTCTCACGAGCATGTATAAAATTTCTAGAGGCTATTGTCAAAATCTACTCTTCGTTCCAGATGTTAAAGAGTAAAAAAGTGGATGATTCATTCTGATAACTTAGGAGGGACCTATATTCAGATGTTGATGCATTTCAGATACCATTTAAGTTATCACATAAGACTGTCATAACTACTTTTCCTCTACTTCACTTGATAGTTTGAGCTTCTCAATTGCTTTCTAGAATGGCTATGGGTGGTTGGCATCTTGGATTATCGCATATGATTTTCTATAACATACGTTTGGTACCTTCCAGTCCTTCCTGCTTGCCATCCATTGTTCCATCTCTACTGATCATCATGTCTACATTTTTATTTTGCTGCTTCATGGAATTTCTTATCCAAACACTTTCAAGCGGACTTGTGCAAACATGACCAGTATACTTGAAGAACTAACTGGAAATGTTAACTATACAATATGAGAGGGTAATTAGATAAAGAGAAGAAAGAGGCATTAAGCTTTGAAGAGTGACTAGGCTTCATAGATTGGATTGAATATATATATATATATTTTCCTTTTTTTAAATTACCTCTGTCATTGAATTGACAAAGGTCTGAGATAAAATTAATTTGGAATTTTTGAAAACCTGCACTACATTCAAGTTCTTAACTTTGACTTTCTTCTTTAGGCCTGGAGGCTGACAGCTCAAGTGTTCTTTTTATAGCTCAACTAGCTTCAGTTGCTTATTCCTTTTTTCTTTTGATCTCTTGCAGAGACCTCAGCTTTAACAGAATAAGTGGGCAGATTCCTTCCGGGTTTCATTCTCTTAAAAGAGCAGATAACATGTAAGGAGCTACACCCAGAAACTTTAATTATAACTACATTTAATCATTCTCTCATATAGCTCGAGGGGAGCTGGACAAATAAATTTGACAGTCTCAACCAATGAATGAAATTCATCTTATTATCTGAGAATAATAGAGAAACTTAATGTGGCAACAGTATGAATATTGGGGTGACTTTAAAAATTACTGATCAATATATACAAATATTGGGTGCGACTCACTTCAATGCTTTCATCTCTAGCTATTTCTTACGGTTTTTTTTTTCTCATCTTTTGTTTCTAATTATCAACTGTTGGAGCCATTTCTTGTAGTTTTGCCTTTTATTTTTGCACGTCCTTTGCCTTAATAAAAGCTGGTTTACTGTTTTAAAAATACTCTATGTATGTATGTATGCATGCATGTATGCATTATGCACATACATGCATACATACAAATAACTGGTTTCTTTAGTTGTGTTAATGTGCTAACTGCCCCATGAAGGGAAAATATCACACCTGACATTTTGACAACTTAATATGGTTAAAAATTTAAGTTCAAATTCTAGAAACCAAGCCTTGATGGAGGAATGTTGGGATTCAATAGATTTAACTCTGATGCTACATACTGAGCATAACTGGCTTACTTGTCCCAGAACTTTGATATTGGTTGTCTTGAAAGAACTATGACGAGATATAAGCTACCAATGTTCCAAGAATCAGCTCTCACATGCATAAATGGATTGGATAATGGAGAAAGAGAGATTTAGACAAAGTGGGACATGGAAACCCTGAACGGCAAAAAACAAGTACAAAAAATCTGAATATATCTTCCACTTCAAATAGAGACTAAAATTGTGTAGCTTTTAGTGATGCTAGAAGATGCAAACATCAAGAGGATAAAATACTTTGTCCTAGTATATATATATATATATATAATAATTTTTTTTTGTCTTCTCACTGAGGATTCCTTAGCATCTCTCTCTTAGTTCTCCTGATGCCCAAATGGCTTTTAAGACATCTCTCTCTTAGTTTCTTCTTATGCCCCTCTCTTATACATGGTATAGCTCAAATGCCTCACACGTCTATTTTCTTTTAGGTAAAGCCCAAATATAAATAGGCTTATCTCTTCTTATAGCTACCCCAGTGCTTAAGCTAATGAGTTACAGTAAATCTAATAATTTATCAATACTTTAACACTCTCCCTTATTTGTGGGCTTCGAAATTTGCATAAGGTCCAACAAGTGGTTATAAATGTTTATTGGGGAGGGAATGACATTACAGAGGTTCGAACATGGGACCTACTGCTCTAATATCATGTTAAACGATCGCTGAACCAAACGCTCAAGCTGATAATTTACGATAAATTTAATCATTAATCAATACTTTAACACTGACACAACCTCTCCTTGGTGACGTCTTAATTGACTTTGCACACCTCACTTTCTTGTCTGATTTTTTCTTCACTTTTTTTATGCTTAAGAAATGATATTCTATATTAAAACCAGCTAAAAGCAGCAGCTACTAACTTAGTCCAACTTGATATAAAGCCTCGTTTATGCTTTCTTTAATCTAATCTATCTAGAGAAGAAAAAGAAAAAATTTCTAGCCTGTCTTCTGAAATCTTTTGTTGACCATGGGAAGAAAGTTTAATTGCACATAGTAAAGAAGAGAATAAAATGAATTTTTTTACTTTCTTTGGTTCCACCAATCAAAACTCAACTTGACCAACCGTATGGTAATATTACAATTCCATGTAGGCCCCCCAAAAGAGGGATTGATTTGTCTACGTATTCACAACAATGATTCTTTTAATTAATTTTTGCGGATAGTTTAAATAATAAAATGAAGCCTGGTTTTGGTGACTGGTGTATACTACAACTACAACTAACGTGGCACAAGGTTGGTCTATCATGCATCATCTTTCTTGTCGGTTTTGGTTACGTGCATACAGTGCCCGGCTGAACTGTTCTTTCCCTTTCTCTTTTATATTATTTTTAGTTTTTAAATACTGTAAACATTTCTTTACTCTATATATTCCTATCCAAAAAAACTTTTTAAACATCAAATGATTGATGGATTGATGGTGTCAGACCACCCTCTAGCCAGTACTCCATTTGAAATTGTGTAACAAGTGATTACACAACATTGTTTAATGGAAGAATTTATGTTGTCATGTAGCACATCTTTTATGGAACTCCGTATAGAAGGAAGGTAGTCAATTATGCTGACCTGTGCTATCCCCCTCCCATATCCCTTCTATTATTTACTTGCTTAGATTTTTAACCGGAAACTTGCTAAATGGTTCGGTGCCTGAATGGATGCTAAATGGAGGAAAAAGCATGTAAGTTCCGTTTCCCAATGTTTATCCTTTCTTGAGATTCAGGGGAAAGATAAATTTATTTTATACTTGAATTCAACTTATATATTTTTCAACAGTGATCTCTCTTACAATAAATTTACATCCCCATCTAGAGGCTGTCAATCTCGAACTGCGTAAGGATGATTTTTCGTATTTTTAATTATAATGTTATCTATGTTATTATACTTTCCAAGAATACAGAGTTCCCTTTTTGTTTCTTATGCAGAAACCTGTTTGCAAGCTCTGCAGTGGACAGTAATTCGTAAGTTTAAATTTCCTTGGGTGTAAGCATTAATTTTTTTATTTAAAAAAAAGCATTTAATTTGTTTATTTTGTTGCTATTTCACTCATGTCAGTGCTGTACTAACTAGCAAGCATCTCGTTGTTTTATCAGTAACCTTGTTTCTTGTTTGGCGGACCTCCGTTGTCCCAAGAGTAAGTAAAACTTTTACATCCTTATTTCTATCATCTATGGTTAAATGGTAGAAATGGGTGTATTTTTGCCAATGTTAAAAGCTAAAAAGATGTTGATATCTTCTCTCATTTAAATGCTACAGACCCAGTTTTTACTTATTTTTTCTTTTTAGAACTTAACATGTTGCAGAGAAAACCCCAGGGATCATGTCGGGTATGCATATTGTATGTTATTTTGTAATATTAATAAGCCTGTTATGTTTTTTCAGATCTATACAGTCTTCATATAAATTGTGGTGGGAAAGAAGAAATCATTAATCCTACGAAGTTTGAAGGAGATGAAGATCCAGGCAAGCCATCGGTGTTTGTCTCAAGTAAAACAAATTGGGCACTCAGCAACACTGGTATATTTTTAAATGATAATCGCATTCCAAAAGACTATCTTGAACTGAGTTCATCGAAGCTTCCTATGGTAGATTCCAAACTGTACGAGACTGCTCGAATTTCTCCATTGTCTCTTACATATTATGTGTATTGTATGGGGAATGGAAATTACTCAGTAAGCCTCCATTTTGCTGAAATTGCATTTAGAAATGACAACAAATTTAGCAGCCTTGGAAGACGCATTTTTGATGTTTATGTGCAGGTAAATAATGGCATTCTGTTCTCTATTGGAATGACTCATATTTTCTCAAACTCCAAAAACTTGGCATAAAAAAGAAAAGAAAAAACCTTTCAAAATGTAAACTTCTACAGCTTGTTTAATTCATTATTCGATAGTGAATATTTTCTCATTACTAGAAAAAAGAGTTCCTTGATTCAAATCCAACGTTGCAGGGGAGGCTGGTGCTGAAGGATTTTAATATTGTAGATGCTGCAGGTGGTGTCGGTATACCTATCACAAAAAGGATTCCCATTGGTGTTACAAATCATACCATAGAGATTCAATTTTATTGGGCTGGAAAGGGGACAGATGGTATCCCTGTGGGTGGAATCTATGGTCCTCTGATATCAGCCATTTCGATAGAATCTGGTAGGTTGATTGTTGTCTTAGTTATCTGTTCTCTAAAATCATGTCTTTTTAGTTCCTTTCTTGATAGGGTTCAACCAAAATTCTACAACAGCTAGAACTTAAGAGACGATATCGTATATGAGTGATTTCTAATCCTAATATTTGTCCCGTACTCCATATGATTGAATGTTGGTTCATATATTGTTCTTCATCTTATTATACCAGAAATTTATGTAATTGTAATCTGTCTTGTCTTCATTTGAAGCAGAATTTAAGCCTCAAAAAGATCAAAGTGCCTTGCCAATAGGTGCAGTACTTCGAATTGTGGCTCCAGTCATCCTTGTTATAGTTTTGGTTCTTGGAATTCTGTGGTGGAGAGGTTGCCTTGGACAGAAAAGTACGCGTCGTCGAGGTAGTTTAGTGGGTATAGTTTTCATTGGTAAACTTGTCAATGTTGTGTTAAACTTGTTGTGATGCTCCAAGATCAAATAGCTACTTTGATAGAAAAACAAAATTATTATGAGTTCTTAGTGCGAGCATGGTGTAGTTTGAGATTTTATTTATCTGGGATAATGGGCAAACATGGAGGACTAACAATCTCGAATCTCTTTGGTATCAGGTAAAATAGGCATATTTAATCGATTGACTCTTTTTTCATTTATACATGCTTCTTGCACAGATCTCAAAGGTTTAAATCTGAAAACTGGTTCGTTCACATTAAGGCAAATCAAAGCTGCCACAAATAACTTTGATGCTTCCAATAAGATTGGTGAAGGTGGTTTTGGTCCTGTTTATAAGGTGTTTTCACAATTGGATATGGTTATAATCTCTTTTCTTTTTTAGATTTGTACGTTTCTAATGTGAAGTTATCCTACGGGAATATGCAGGGTTTTCTCTTGGATGGCACCATAATTGCAGTGAAGCAACTTTCTTCTAAGTCAAAGCAAGGAATTCATGAGTTTGTTAACGAGATAGGCATGATATCTGCTTTGCATCACCCGCATCTAGTTAAACTTTATGGATGTTGCACCGAAGAAAATCAACTTTTATTAGTATATGAATACCTGGAAAACAATAGCCTTGCTCGGGCTATGTTCGGTAAGTTATTGACTGTACGCTTTACAATAAATAACCTTTATGAAAATTATGAATGCATTTTGTGAGTTCATACATGGGATGTATTGACCATATCCACTAATATAATGAATTGAAGGACCTGAAGAAACTCAACTGAAATTAGATTGGCCAACAAGGCAGAAAATCTGTATTGGTATTGCCAAAGGTTTGGCATATCTTCATGAGGAATCAAGACTGAAGATTGTTCACAGAGATATCAAAGCGACAAATGTATTGTTGGATAAAAATCTCAACCCCAAGATATCCGACTTTGGTCTGGCCAAGCTTGAAGAAGAAGGAATTACCCACATAAGCACTCGGATTGCTGGAACTTTGTAAGTTGCTATGATTAGATTATTCTGTGTGTAATAATTGATCGAGCTTTTGCATCTTTTTACAACCCAACTCCAACCTGACTCCCACAATGTTATCAAACCAATGACATATCTCCCTTATTAATAAGTATCTAATAAATAGTTAGTCTCAGTCGAGAAATTCGTAGAGTTGAAATTTCTTTCGACTGTTTATAGTTAAAGCTTAGACATTTTTACCCCAAACACGATGTATATTGTAAAAAAGTTTGAGTTTAATTTTAGTTATCCTATAAATGTAAGCTCTAGATTATTTACGAGTAATATCATTGCTTTTGCAGTGGATATATTGCGCCGGAGTATGCAATGCAAGGCCGCTTAAGTGATAAAGCAGATGTCTATAGTTTTGGCATTGTGGCGTTGGAAATAGTGAGCGGAAGGAGCAACACTAGTCACCAATTAAAGGATGGTTGCTTTTATCTGCTTGATTGGGTAAAATGAATTTCATTGAGTATAGTTTTTTTGTGTTTGATTGCATTTCATCTGGCACGTCAATTTACAGTTTTCCAATTTGATATTCAAAAAGTGATTTTGAAAATCCCTAAAACACTTTACTTTATCACGCTTTTCAAATAGGTGATTTTCACTGAAAACACTTTTTTCGAAAGTCATCCCAAGCACTTTACTTTATCATGCCTTTCCAATAAGTGCTTTTCACTTAAAACACTCTTTTCAAAACTCATGCCTAACTTCTAGTCTCTTTAAAACAATAAAACCCGAAGTTGCCCTTGTTATATATTTCTTACATGTTGTAGTATAGTTTATTGTTTCGCTAGCACGATCATGTGATATTAACGTATGGAATGGGGAAAAAAGAGTAACACAATTTTGATGAGCTACTATATACTACGTTTTTAGACGCTCGAGTTAAAAGAGAAAGGCAGTTTAATAGAGCTGGTAGATCCAAGGTTAGACTCCAACTTTAACCAGAGAGAGGCGATGGCCATGATCAATATTGCTCTCCACTGCACCAATGTGTCTCCTTCAGAAAGGCCTGCCATGTCTTCAGTGGTGAGCATGCTGGAGGGAGAAGTTGCTGTGAGGGAGGAGTTGGTTTCACATCCAAATGACACAAGAACACAGATGAGTGCAATGTGGAACCTTTTGTTGCAGAAGAGCCAGAAACAAACTGACGGTGTGAACCAGACAGAGGTTGTCTCTATGGATATGCCATCTAACAATTCTTCAATAAACTAGACTCTCCAACTGCACCTACAAAGATTTGAGTCGTATGTGATACGTCTAAACTTTGATTTGGATATATTTATCAATTACCCAAAAGGAAAGAGGTTGTCCATCTGGTTGTCTAAACTTGACAACTTATCTGGTTAACTTTCATTTCTAGGTACGGTTAGAAGATAGTGTACGGAGTCGGGCACAAAGCGAGCATCAACGACCCAAAGAAGCCTTGTTCTCTGGTTGAAGTGGTACTCGACTGTCTTTCATTTTAACATTTAGTCCATCTTTTTACCTCTATATATGTCTGCCAAAAAAAAAGGGTAAATAAATCATTTCTATTGAATTGGCTATTTTATTGTAATGTTTAGTAACTTTGGATGATAAGTTATTTAGATCACGTGTTTTAATTTCAAAGGATGTCACTCGCCCAAATGTTAAAAAAAAAAAAAGAAAAAAAAACAATATGAACTCGTTATTATATTACTAAAAAAATATATATAAGATTTGAAAGAAACAAGTTAAAAAAATATATGAAAAAGAATTGCGATAATTAGAAAATTTAGTACGACAAGTAGATTGAACTAGCGGAAAGTACTCCATGGGATATACAACACCCCATTCATAAAAATCACGAAGTACTGTCTATTTTATATATAATATGTAGTAAACAAATTAATTTGTTCAGCGAGTCGGTGACTACGTCTCTAAAATTGGATAAGCGTCTTAGTTTCCCAAAAAATCATCAATAATAATAGGTATAAATTATACATTTTAATTATTTTGTTTTTTAAATAATATAAGATTATAAATTTTGAAAAGACTAAAGTGGGAGAAACTTGTGATTTTTCCTTTTCTTCCACGTTTAATATTTTTCCTAATACTTCTAAATTCCTCATAAGTTTAAGAATTTCAATAATTTTTTTTCAAGAATATCCATCAACATCTCCATAAAATTAATACTTTGATATTTTAATTATTGATTGAAACCATGTTATTGTAACAATTTTAGATATACGATAAGTTGGTTTTAACCAGAGGCAGTTGTACAATAATAATAAATCTAAAGAAAAAAAATCAACTGCACAATTCTTGAAAAAGCTGCACCAACCTATCTCAACCTTACACAAGTTATGAACAAATTATTTACAACTAGCACAACTACTTATCTACTTTGTAAAACATAAATTATAAATTTGATTAGTAGCATTTATATTAATATTGGTGAAAGGTATACTAAAATTATCAATTGATTCCTAATATTATCGTCCAATTCAATTCCTTGGATTTATGAAAATGCCAAATAAACATGGAAATTATATGTCGGTAGATATTTTATTCCATGGTTGCAAATTAAATTGTAATGAGGTTGGTTAGCAGGCAGATATTTTCAATTGTCATAGCTTTTATTATTTAATTTATTTGTATTTATTTGTAGAAAAGTCTCTCCAGACACGGCTGTGGAAATTTATAAAGCCACTAATTTCATGTCCTATGTGTTGTTGTCTTGTTGTGTTGGTGGGTGTTAAAGAGAATTGTCCAATTTTTTTGTTACTTGGATTTAATAAATAAAAACAAATTAAGACGTCAGTTAAAATCCTGCCTGTTTGATCAAGATCAAATAATCAAGTCTCAGAGCTTCGGATCCGCTAAGACGAGCTAGACAGAAAGCTTTGGATCATGTTGTGTAGAGGACCTGCAAAACAGAGTAGAAATTCCGATGCTAAAGTCAGTAAGCGTTCAAGTCAACTAGACAGAGAGAATTGGTTTGATCACGTACCTTGGAATGAAGCAAAATGGTTCTATTTATAGACAAAGTCCCCAATAAGGTTCTCGACAAGGCTACAACGACTCTTTAAAGTTGACGTGAAGTGTGGCGTGTTATGTCGTGGAGTTTGTCGGATAATGGGCTAGGCCGAAGTAGTCCAAATAATATATTTGGTCGGCTCGGTATGAGAACTCATGGCTGAGGAAAATATACTTGCGCGGGATGAAACGTGTACTGCTGAACATCCAACCATAACATGCCACGTGTAAGTTGAGAATTTGCTTCCAACATTGCCAATTAAAATGTAGCACATAAACAAGTTAGTTTGAATACTTACGAACATCAACCAATACGCTTAGATACCAAACAAATATATATTTATAGAAAGTGAATTAAGAAGAGAGAAAAAAAATATCTCAAAGTTAAAATCACTTTCTAAAAGATGTGATTGGACACCCCGCAGGCCCAAATTGCATGCATTTATTCACATCTTGACTTGTACATAATTGTCCTTATTCATATCTCTCTCTCACTCAAACTTATTCATTTGGAGAAAGCAACTCTTTTTTTCATTTTGGCTCCAAGAAGTGAAGATATGATGATGTTAGTAGCTCCAATTGCTCTTCTGGTTGTTCTTTCATTAATTATTTCTTGTTCTCCCACCATTCTTACTCCTAGTCTACCTCTCGACGAAGGTACGTAATATCTGTATTATTCAAATTGAAAAGCAGTAACTTCACATCTTTTCGTTAGGTTTATTCCCGATAATTAATTTGAATCTTTCATCTTGAAAATTTATTTTCATTTCAGACTTTCAAACATTTTATTGTAGTTATGATCAAACAAGTATTTGAAATCCTAATATAATAGGTTAGGTATTCAACTTCAAAACAGATTTAAATTTTTGTTAAATAATCGTAGAAACTATGAAAATGAAAGTTTATAAATTAAAATAGAAATTCAGTGTATTTGATTTTATAAAAATGTCGATGATGAAAATGACGCAGTGGAAGGCTTAGAGTACGTGGGAAAGAGGCTGGGAAAGAGGGACTGGAAATTTAATGAAAATCCATGCAGTGAAGAAGAATCTAGCTGGAAATCTGCAGATGCAAAGGATGGCAGTGGTTTCAAAAATAACGTCACATGCAATTGCTCATATGCTAGTGCTACCGTCTGCCACGTCACCCACATGTGTGTTCTCCCCCTCTAAATTATATGCAACAAAATTTCACCTTATTTGGAACTTATTTGGAACTTCTTCGACTCGGATAAGTGTTAAAATTTTTACCTTAAACTTAAAAAAATGTTTAGCGTTTATAAAATTATTGGAAAAGGTAGTATTATGTGCATTCAATTTATTATAAAAATAAAGGGTTAGTATGGAATTGATAGGATTGAGGCAAAAATAAGAATAGATAGAGTTGATTTAAGAAAAATATTGATAAATTTTTGTTGGTTAACTTTGTGTCAGCTATATTTTTATTAAATTAGTGATTTTTTTTTAAAACTTTTTATGCTGTTCTGTTAAAATACTAGTTTGGTTTCTGTGTTTCCAATTTCAGTTCATTTTGATGTCTGTACTTTTAAAATGTTCATTTTGTCTATATACTTTTAATCCTTTAATTTTATTTTAAACTCATTTTTTCTATCAAGATTTCAACAAAACACTCTTACTCATATATTTCTTCYAAATGTAACTCTAAGTTTATATTAAAAGGTTTTTATTATGTTGAGAATTTGTGTTAAAATTTTGAAAATAGATATTAAAATGGTCAACTTTTTAAAGGGAGAGATCAGAACAAACATTCTAAAAGTATATAGACTAAAATGAATCAAGATGAAAGTGAACCGATCAAAATAAATAAATAAATACTGGACCAAACTAATATTTTAAATTAAGTCGAGTATTTATAGTTTAAAAAGTTTTTGGATGATTCCAGCTCATTGAGGTAGTTATAACAAATTTACAACTGTAAAAAGACAATTTTCTGAGACGCGCAGAATTCTGAAGTCGCAGAGTTTGCCGGGAACACTGCCGCCGGAGCTCTTCAGGTTGCCTTATCTGGAGGAACTGTACGTTCTTCACCCTTCTTTTCTCTTCTCTTCGCAATGGAGTTTATTGTTTTGCTTTTGCTTGATCGTACTTCAATTACAATCTACTCGTTTTCTTTTTCTTCTAATTCAATCCAGCGATCTCACTCGAAACTATCTTAGCGGCGAAATTCCTCCACAATGGGGCTCTACGAACCTCATCAAAATGTAATTTCTCTCCATTTCTTCCTCTCTGTGTGCGATGATCGTCATTTATTCAAATTATAGGTTACGGCCATCTTTTTAATCCATTGTAATCGAAAATCTCGCAGTTCCCTGCTCGGAAATCGGTTGACGGGTTCGGTTCCGGAAGAGATTGGAAATATTTCTACTCTCAGAGAGTTGTGAGTTCCGATTACACATATGTTTACCTCTCGAAGCATTAAAATCATCTGTTGTGTTGTTTTATGCATAGGGTCCTAGAAATGAATCACTTGTCCGGAAGCTTGCCTCTAGCTCTTGGAAAATTGTCGAACTTGGAAAGATTGTAAGATCATTTAATTTTAATATCGTCACGTATCTTCATTAATTCGTTAGTCGTTTAGCTATTCCAGTGTAAACTTTCGGTAGAGAGTTAATTAGCCGTCTTCAACTCGTGAATTTGCAAACAGAGCTTGTGGGTTGATTTTGATTCTTTCTTAAAAATTATAAATTAGACTTCTTGCCTCGAACAACTTCACCGGGGAGCTGCCGGAGTCTCTGGGAATGCTTACCTCTCTAACCGGATTGTAAGCTTTATAATATTTTCAGTCTTCGAGTTTTGTTTCCAGATCAATGCAAACATTTATTTTCTAGAACAATAATCAATTATTTAACTTTTTCTACTTCAACAATGCAGCCGAATCAGTGACAATAACTTTGCAGGACCAATACCCAGTTTCATCCAGAATTGGGCAAATATTAGTCTAATGTGAGAACTTCTCTACTCTACGCCCGATCCTAATTCTTCACGATAACCATGAATCGTGTCTCACTAATGTAATTTGTTTGCGACAGAATAATTCAGGCAAGTGGGCTGAGTGGGCCTATTCCTCCTGAAATCGGACTTTTGAAAAACTTAACCGACCTGTTAGTATGCAGTTTTATTTCATGGTTTACTGTCTCCAGAAAAAGAAAAGAAAAACGTGTTTTTTCTTATACGCATGCATATTTCAACGTGCAGGAGAATAAGTGACTTGAATGGAGCCTCATCACCCTTTCCATCGCTTAATAATTTGACTAATATGCAAAACCTGTGAGCACCTCCATTCCATTAGAACTTGTTGGAAGCACCTCAGCCAATTAATTTTGTTTTTGTTTGCCCACAGAGTATTGAGAAATTGCAACATAACCGGAGCCCTGCCTGACAATTTCGGTGGGATGGAATCTTTGAAGCTTATGTCAGTATAAGTTCACTTCATTTCTTTCTAGTTTCTTGCTCATATATATTACTTTTTTTAAATCTTATATATATTATTTTTTTAAAATCTTATATAGATTGGTCAACCTGAACATAACTCAATTGTCTAAGACATGTATTTCTTTTTTTGACTAAGACATGTATTTCCGACAAATAGATTGTGCAAAAAATAAATGTGAATGCTTAAAGATCCATCGAACGAGTGGATTCACTCTCTTACAACCAACACAAATTTTGTTCTTAGAGCCGAAACTATTTGCTTACCTTTACATACTCTCCAAAGTAGCATTTCTAATACCTCTGTAGCGCAAGCTCGAAGACATTGAATACACCCACGCAAATGGACACAGGAGTTGGAGAGCTTTTTATGCGGTAGTTTCAATGGAATTTGTTGGCGGTGTTAATGGTGTGTTTGGCCGTTTAGATGGACCATCTCACTTGACAATTGCTGGAACTTTAGGTTTAGGAAAGTTTCCACGACTACCACGACAAGACTTGCCACTGTGACAATCCTGCTGACAATGTTTGCAACAGTTATTTTTCAAATCCGGAGGGAGGGAGGACAACAACAAATGGGAATGAAAGGAGAGTGATAGCGAGCGATGAGAGGAGGAGAAGAGAAAGGAGGAGGCGAGAAGAGGGAGAGAGAAAGCTGTGGTTGATGTAGTGGGAAACCTGGAGGACGGTCGCTGCACTTGTTGGAGGAGAAGGGAAGAGATAAAAAGGGAAAGAGGGGAAAAAAGCCAAATAAACCCAAGAAACATAAATCACTAAAAATTGTTACCTCATCTAAAATTTGTCACCTTAGTATTCCACGTCATTTTTCATTCTTCTGTTAGCCAAGTAACAGTCAACTTAACTTAGGGACCTTTGGAACTATTTTTTAACCACAAGACCAAAGTGTTGCTTCTGCAACTGTTTTTGAAACTTCACAAACTAAATAGAAGTCAAGTCTAAACTTCATGACCAAAAGTGTCGAGTCCTTGTGTAATTTTGTTAAATTGATAGAAAGTAACATATGAGATGCTAATTATATGAAGAGAAGAAATGCAATAAGTTTAACCTTGACGACTAATACGGATTGAGAATTTTATTGAACATGTGATCATTGAATCAGGTGTAAGACGTTTGTTAGTGATAGATATTCTGCATTGACTTCTGTTGAGCCTCAATTTTAAATTTGAATTTTAGCAACTAGCACTGCGCTCTTTATTTGAATTTCTGTACTTCTATTGCAGCCAATTTCCTTATTAGTTCGTAGTTCCTACCACCACTTCAATGGGAGCTGACAATTTGGAAGTTTCTTTTGATTGCGACTTCTTAATTTTCTCACTTTTTTACTTGCAATTTTCCTTGCAGAGACCTCAGCTTTAACAAAATAAGTGGGCGTATCCCTCCCAGTTTCCATAATCTTGTCGGAGTGGATAGAATGTAAGGAACTTCATGCAGAAATTTCAGTTATAAGATAACTACATGTGATGTAATTCTTCTCCATGGCTTGAGGGGAGGGGATGGCTAGTTAATTTAACATTCTCAATTGACGAAATTCATTTTATTATCAAGGTATCATGCAGAAAACAAATGTGCCAACCTGTATAAATGGGGAAACCTTGTAAATTACTGCCTCAATACCCTATATGCTAAGATAACTGGTTGAATTTGATCTGAGTTGTCTGAAGGAAGCAAACAACATTATCTCGTATTCTAACAACTTTAGATGCCTAAACATTTAAGTYGAAATTCTAGAAATCAAGGCACGATGTAGGATATTTTTGGATTTGTCAAATAAGATACAAGAAGCTTAGTTTTACCAACTGATTTATACTGAAAAAATGTTGCACTGTGTTGCCTAACCTGGAGTCATGTTTGTCTTTAACCTTTCATGGTAGTAAGTTGAACATGATGAAGAATATATAAAGAGCATCCTATGGTGGAAAGTCAGTCCATCATGTATTATGTCATATCTCATGTTGGATACATGCATTAGAATCTATTTTTGACTCAAAAGAAGTGGAAGTGTCACGTGTAGCATGAATTATAGCTTTTCCATCAGATTCAGAAAGTTGCTACTTGCTAGTAATGAGAACTCTTTACTTTTTAGTTAGAAATGTTTTCTTTTTCTTTTGTTCTTTAACATAGAAAGCACATTTCATTGAGCAAGATCCATGTTAACACCTCCCTCCCTTGGCTGTACTCTGTGTCATTTTGTTTCCATAACAAGCAATATTCTAGATTGCATTATGTCAATGGGATCAAAATTTACATTTTCAGGTTGCATCTTCATGATGGAACTCGCTAATGCAGAAAGGTCATCGCTCATTGATTATACTCATTTTCTAATATTCACTTGTTTAGATTTTTAACTGGAAACTTGCTAAATGGAGATGTTCCTCAGTGGATGCAGACTGAAGGATTGAACATGTAAATTCCGTACACACTTTGACCTTTTATTGAGGTTTATGGGAAGCACAAGTTTATTCGATATACATTTCATGAAGGTGATTAATCATAAACATCTTTTGTACAGTGATCTCTCTTATAACAAATTTTCACCAGTCTATACGAGCTGTCATTCACAACATTTGTAAGAATATTTTTGTTCTTTCCAATATCTTCTTACCATGATAATTTGCTTTCCAAGATACATTGTTTCCTTTCATTCCTCCTGCAGGAACCTGTTTGCAAGCTCTTCACTGGACAATAATTCGTAAGTTTTAAGTTTTTTCCAGCGTAAGCATGTACTTTGTTTGTTGCAATGTCACTTGTATTAACCTGGTACTAACTACTATTTTTTAATCAGTAACCATGTAGCTTGTTTGGGGAAGAACTTCATTTGTGAACAAGGTGAGTAGAAATTTGTCATTTACATGTGCATGATTGTTGCAATCTTAGGAAGTTGGGAGAATGCTGAAAACTGGAATGCTTTGCCAACTTAAGATGGTGGACATTGGTCTATTTCCCATTGAAAAGCTGCAATGTGAAAATGTATTTATTTATTCTTTTTTTAGTATTGATAAGCATGTTGATATTCTTGCAGCTCAGTACCATCTCCAGATAAATTGTGGTGGGGAGGACGTAATCATTAACGATGTATTGTTTGAAGGAGATAAAGATAAAGTCAACCCATCAGAGTTTGTCTCAAGTAAAACAAATTGGTTAGGCAGCAATACTGGCATGTTTTTGGACAATGAGCGCAAAAACGACGAGCTTTTTGCTGTGAATTCATCTGCACTGTCTATGATAAATTCCAAACTGTATGAGACTGCTCGAGTGTCTCCTGTGTCTCTTACATACTATATGTACTGCATGGCAATTGGAAACTACACGATAAGCCTCCATTTTGCAGAAATAATGTTTACTAATGATAAAAGTTATCGCAGCCTTGGAAGACGTCTTTTTGATGTTTATGTGCAGGTAAATAATGACATTTTGATCCCACCCAAAAGATAATGATATTTTCTCATATTCTTCCCCTTTTTTTTTGCTTAAAAAATTTCCTCATTACAAGCTCAAAGCCCCTTGATTGAAATTAAATATTGCAGGGAAGACGGGTGCTGAAGGATTTTAATATTGCAGATGCTGCAGGAGGTGTAGGTAAACCTTTCATAAAAAAGATTCCCATTGCTATTACTAGTGGTACTTTGGAGATACGATTTTTTTGGACTGGGAAGGGGACAACTGCTATCCCTACGAGGGGAGTCTATGGTCCTCTGATTTCAGCCATTTCAGTTGTTTCTGGTACGTTGAGTGACATTTTTATTCTCTTCTCTCGAGTCCATTTTTTATCCCTTTTGCCCATACGTTATTTTGACTGTATTTCAGTCCATAGATTATCTATCTATAATGACCCAACTTTTCTAGGGCATTATGTAATTTCATTTGAAACTGTTGTTATAAAATTAAAAATTCAACAAATACATTTATTAGTTTCAATAGTTATAATATTCTAATAATTTAAGGTCTCAGCATAATAAAATTAATTCTTTAGTCCAAATCCATAGTTCTTGAATATTCTAGTAGAAGAACTAGTTTTTAGGGGAAAAAATATTAGATTAAAATTTATAAATAAGGTTATAAAACTTCGATAACCATATCCTCTTCAGTCTATCAGCTTGCCATCAACTTGCAACATAGAATTTGTTTTTGCCAAAGTCTAGTATTGAGTAGATTAAATTACCAGTTTAGTTCTTGAACTTTTAGAATTGTGTTTAATAGGCTTCAAACTTTTAGAGTTGTATCTTAGGTCTCGAACTTTTAAAAGTGTTTAATAGGTCATTAAAATTTAAATTTTACAGCTATGAGGTGCATAAATTTTAAAAGTGTTTAATTGGTCTTCGAATTTTCAATTTTGTGCTTGACTTATTAGACATTTTTTTTTTTGAATTTAAAAATCTACCGGACACAAAATGTACTAATTCACGAATCCAATTTTGCATCTAAAAAGTCAATTGTATTTCTGAACTCAAGTGTTCGATGTGCTTTAGGCCATTATTTGCTATAAATTCTTATTCTACACTATTTAGTACACCTATCTACAATTATTGTGATTAATCTTAAATTAAGCACATATCACTAAAATTAGAATTTCTTGGATGGGTATATCATCATAAAATTGTTAAATTGCCCTCAGGAGATGATATCACATTGTCCATTACATTACCATATAAACAACTTTATACAATTATTGTCTCTCTTTTCATGATGCAGACTCTGAGCCTCCATCAGAAGGTCGACATACCTTACCTGCAGGTGCAATTGTTGGAATTTTGGCTGCAGTGGCCTTTGTTATAATTTTGGCTCTTGGAATTTTATGGTGGGGAGGTTGTCTTGGAAGAAAAAGTACAGATCGACAAGGTAATTTAGATGAGTTATCTTTGTCCACGAACATTGTGAATGTTGTATGTTTAGATTATTTTATGGGATTCAGGGTTTAACTGTTTTACTTAGCAAATATATAATCTCAAGTCCCATGTGAAAACAATGACAAATAAGTGGAGATTTTGATTCTGTCTCTCTGGGTATAGACAACTATCTAAAATCTGTTTATTATCATGCGCATAGGCAGCTTCATCGATTTTGACCATTCTATCATATATGCGGCTTCCTTTGCAGATTTGAAGGGTCTAAATCTGCAAATTGGTTCATTTACATTAAAGCAAATCACAACTGCGACAAATAACTTTGACATTTCCAATAAGATAGGGGAAGGTGGTTTTGGGCCTGTTTATAAGGTATTGTCACTAATTCTATTTTACTTGATTTGTAAACTTTTCTTTTGTAGAAGTCAAAGACTGAATGCAATGTTTTTCTTTCAAARTGCAGGGTCGCCTCTTGGATGGCACCATGATTGCTGTTAAGCAACTTTCTTCAAAGTCAAAGCAAGGAAAACGAGAATTTGTGAACGAGATAGGCATGATATCTTCTCTGCAACATCCATATCTAGTAAAGCTTTATGGATGTTCTACAGAAGGAGATCAACTTTTGCTAGTATATGAATATATGGAAAATAATAGCCTCGCTCGGGCCCTATTCGGTAAGCTTTGCCTTAATACTTTGCCATAACAAATTTTTATTAGAATTCTTTGATGCATCCCGTAAGTTAATTAATGAAAGTATTGACCATCTCTCCTAATATAATAAATTGAAGGACCTGAAGAATGTCAATTAGAATTGGATTGGCCAACACGGCAAAAAATTTGTATTGGTATAGCCAAAGGTTTGGCTTTTCTTCATGAGGAGTCAGGATTGAAGATTGTTCACCGAGATATCAAAGGTACTAATGTACTGTTAGATAAAAATCTCAACCCCAAGATATCTGACTTTGGTTTGGCCAAGCTTGATGAAGAAGAGAATACCCACATAAGCACTCGGGTAGCCGGAACGTTGTAAGTCTCTATGATTAACTGATTCTCTCTGCATTATCCAAATAAGCTTTTGCTGTTTTTTTCGAATTTAGCCGGAAGGACTTGTCTATATTTTGGAACTTATAGCATATCATAGCCATTAATAAATACATATCAAATATATAGATCTTCGTAATCGACCCAAAACCCCAAAACCTAAACCAAGAGGGGCAGCCCCTCGGGAACAGATTATAGTCCTAGTTATTTGCTATCAAGAAATTTAATGGAGTTTAAATTTCTTTGAGCTTGGTATAATTACACAGCTGGACATTTTTTTGTTGAGACTTGAGACACAAGAAATGACATATTTATTTATTTTTAGTACAACATATAGGGATAAGGATTAGAACTCAGATATTTTGGGTGAAGATATGTCTTACCCTATTAAGCTATGCTCAAGATGACAACATATTTACTTCTAATATCATACTTTTGCAGTGGATATATTGCACCGGAATATGCAACACGCGGCTATTTAACTGATAAAGCAGATGTTTATAGCTTCGGTATCGTGGCACTAGAGATAGTTAGTGGGAGGAGCAACACTATATATCGGTCAAAGGACAAGTGCCTTTATCTTCTTGATTGGGTAACTCGATTTCCTTTTTGTACAACTATAGCTTGTTATGTTTGATTATTTTGCATTCGACCATGTTAACCACTAGGAAAGTCTTGGTCTGCTGTCTGAATTTTAACTCGTGTCCATTCTGATCCTTGCCTGGGTTGATAATCACTATGCAAATAAATCTTACCTTGTAACTATATTTATATATCCATTTACTTTTACTCACTTCAAAATCCAAGTTTCCATTTACTTCACGAGTATATTATCACGAGATCAACAGCGATAACTTTGGAGTAAAAGCTAGGAAAGTAAATTCAACTAATCTATGCTTTGTTTTGTTTCCAGGCACTTGTGGTGAAAGAGAAAGGCAGTTTAATGGAGCTAGTTGATCCAAGGTTAGGCTCCAACTTCGACCCAGAAGAGGCAATTGCAATGATCAATATTGCTCTCCTCTGCACCAATGTCTCTCCTTCGGCGAGACCTGCCATGTCTGCGGTGGTGTGCATGCTGGAAGGTAAGGCTGCTGTAGAGGAACTGGTTTCAAATCCAGACGACCTAAGAAAAGAGATGAGCGAAATGTGGAACCTTATGCAGCAGAATGACAAGAAAACTGGCGGCAAGAACCAAGCAGAGAGTGCGTCATCTATCGACGTGCCAAGTTCTTGGACATCGATAACGAGTAGAGACTAGACTCTGAAACTGCATATGTAGCGTCTTGAATATGGTATGTGGTATGTATAAGCTTTGATTTTGTGATGCGTATCATATACTCAATGGAAGGAGATGTTATGATATATATTTTATTTGGAGGGATTTAGTGGTGGTCGTTGTGTTGTGTGGATGTTTTATTTTATTTTTTTTTTATATTAAATCAATATTTATATGATTTATTGGAAAATATCAATTAATCTTAAAATGAAGGATTTTATGGAATTATCAACGCGTCGGCAGAGATATTATTCCTTGGCTGCTATGACTTGTGAGGTCAAAGTAGAACAGTAGGCCTCTTGGTCATAAAATTTATAATTAAATGTCATTAATTTAATGTCGGACTGAGAAAGAAAATGGTACCATCATCTTTATAAATAAATAAAATGAAAAAGTTGTCTTTTTTTTTTGTTGAGAAAAAATGGTCCCAAAATATATAAATATATTGACAGTAATGGTACCAAAATATTGATGTCAGTCAAAATATTTACATATTTCCTCTGAAAAAAAAGGATATATATTTATATATTGATGTACAAATCAATGAACCAAATCTTATCTCCTTTATTGAAATAGGTAGATTTTGTTAATTTATCTTCTTCTTTTATTTTTTTTAACTAAGTTCAGATATATATATATATATATATATTTATTTATTTATTTATTTAATTATGATAAATTTAGTTACTATGACAAAAAACGGTGTGTTTAGTTACGGTTCTTTTTTCTTTAATGTGGTTTGGATTTTTTTTTTAATTTTGTTTTCTATTTTTAGAAGAGTGGTTAGGAAGTATTAGCCAAATTTCAAACAAAAAGATAAATTATCGAAAAATTTGATGACATTTATGTGTATATTTGTGGAATAACTTTTATACCCAAAAACCGGCGGTATAATTGACATATATTTCCATCAAATAGGTGGTGAGTTCGAATTTTTATCCCACATGTTATACTAAAAACAATATCAATTCTATAAAGTTGTGTAAAAATTAGCATTCATTTATCTCTTTTATTGACTTGTAATTCTTTTTGTCCTCGAGAAAATTAAAATTTATCCTCAAGTCAAAAAAAAAAAATCATCAAACACTCAAAATTGATATACATTTATATCCAAAATTGTAAGTCAATATTGAGAATGGTTGGTCTTTATTGCAATAATGCACATCTTGACCTGGTGCAAAATTGACTTGGCCATATTACGAGCTGAACTATTCATGAATTTCCCTTTCTCAGAAAAATCATTTATCCAAGTTTCACATATAAACAAAATACGCTATCATTTTTACACCTCAAGTCTGAACAGATGTTGGGTGTACCTCCATTTCCAGCCCTTTTGGTTGCTTCCCTCTTTATTTGTTGCTCTCTCGCTTTCCAAGCTCAATTGTCTCCCGATGAAGGTACGTAATATCAATACTCATGAACATTTTAGAAAACTCACCGATATTTATTTAAACTAAAAAGTAGTAGCTTGAGATTTTTACATAAGTTTTAAATAAAAGCCTAGATTAGAGATGACAACGGGATAGAGAAGTTAGGCGAGAGGTTTTAATCTCATTCTTGCAAAAGTTGGGTCGGGCACATTTCTTGTTGAGATTTATCTCGACTAGAACGTGTTGATGAATGATTAAATTCTCGGTAATGCAATAATTTAAGCTTTTAAGTTTAGGGGTGATTTTCGACGGAAGCTAGCTTAGGAGCCCTGGGGCGGCTGGACCAACAAATCTGAGGAGAAATGGGCGATGTTGAAGAAAGAGGATTAAGAAGGTCGTAGTAATACGAAGGAAAACGAAAGAAAGTGACAAAGTGATTGGAATTCCATTTCATAGACAAGTGGGCTGAAATTTTTTTTAGGAAAATTCGAATTCACACCACTATATCTCTTAACCAATTGAACTATATGCTCAAATTAGTTGGGCTGAAAATATAAACGTCCATTGGGTTAATATATAATATGTGTGTGTGTTTGTATAAAGATTATTTGGAGTGAGTGTGGAGATGAAGATCACAAGACGGTTTGGATAATAGAAAATAGAGTTTGGGGATGAAGACAATGCAATTTGGATATTAGAAATAAGGTAAAACATATTTTTTAGTCCGGTTTTAGAGATAGTTTTATTTTATCATTTTTTTGGTATGGGAGTAAATATTGGAACCCAAATATTTTAGTCAATATGTGTATCCGTTGAACTATATTTTAGGTTGGTTTTATTTGACGATACTAACGTAAGCATGCTTAGCTATTAGGTCTGATATAGGATTATATTTTGATAATTTGCCAAAATATATTTATTATTATTATTATTTTTTGTGATTGGCATCTTTCTCCTTCTCTCTTCTACTTCCATCTCTCCCTCCCTCTGCTGTTGCCATATCCCCGCATCGTCGTCTTCAAATCTTTAAGAATGAAGGGATATGGTGAATCTTATACATTCAATCGTGTGGGGGAAAATAGGAGTATGAGACGGTAGGATTGACCACATTAGCCTATTGGACTAATAGCTCATTTAGAGAAGATATTTAAAAGTTTTTTTCTTTCTTTTAATTTTGGATAGGATTTATGTTGGCTCTCGTTAGAGCTGTACGGTGAGGGTCCAACAAGCACGTACCAAGCCATTTGAGGGTACGAAAACCTCTCTCGTGGTTCTTGTGAGTCCTAAAAAAGTCAAAAATCATAAATTTGAGGCTTATATTCCCTAATGAAGTCGCTGGCAAAATTCGACCCGACTTAGATGAGGCGACTTGAGATTCCTATAGGTAACACAACACTAACAAGACTCAGGAAGGCAACCTGATTGGGATGTTAAATCTGAGATCTTATTCTGGTTGGATCTCAAGTTTTGAATGGAGTCAAGGTTGCTGTCACTCGTCTTCGGTTTGGCTGCAAAACTCATTTTATGGAATTGTTAGTTGGCGAATATTATAGTATTTTAAAGTCRATAAGAAAAATGTAACGAATGATATATAAGATTGAGATATGTTAATTAGTACTTTTTTAGAAAATTATACCGTATTTGAAATTATTTTTAGTTTATGCTATATTTGYTATTATTTTAAGCTAGATTATGCAACTKTCCCATTATACTAATAATAAAAATTCAGATGTGGAGTGGAGAATCGAACTCACAATCATATATTTCAATTACGTCGAGCTATGCTAGCTTTAGCGATAAAAATTCAGAAATTGAAAGAGAATTTAAATATGATATTTTTTTTAGTATTAATTTATGGAAAATACACAGCGGATGGTTTCTGGTCTGTGATGGACGAATTGGGAAAGAAGAAAGTGAATTTCAATTTAGGTCCATGCAGTGGAGGGTACGATGGGGGGCAATCCAATCTTGGAGAAGATAATTTTCCTGTAAATAACATCAATTGTAGTTGTTCATCTGGGAATGCTACCATCGTCTGTCACGTCACCCACATGTATGTACGCTATTTTCGCTACTATTTTGATCTCTGTATTTTTAGTTTTGGAGGTTTATTTTAGTCTCYGTATTCTCAAAACGTTGGTTTTAGTTACTCTTCTGTTTTTTAATGTTTTATACAAATTCTCCTTTTAATACAAAAGTTACGGTTGCTTTTCAATAGAAAACTTCTTAGACACGGAACTAAACACAAACGCAAGATTCTAAGACATTTGTTGGGTATCGCAGAATTCTGAAGTCTCAAAGGTTGCAAGGCGTTCTTCCGACTCAACTCTACAGGTTGCCTTACCTGGAGATACTGTACGTACTTCGATTCCTTCCCTCTCTTCTCTTGGCTATGGAGTTTCAATTACCCGTTAACATTTTCTTGTAATCCAGCGATCTCACTCGAAACTATCTTAGCGGCGAAATTCCTCCACAATGGGGCTCAATGAAGCTTGTCGGAATGTATTTTCTCTCCATCCATTTCTTCCTCTCTGCGTGCGTCAGAGTAGATTACGACCATCGTTTTAATTTCATCCCTAACAATCTAAAATGTTGCAGTTCTCTGCTCGGAAATCGGGTGACGGGTTCGGTTCCAAAAGAGATTGGAAACATCACTACACTTGAACAGCTGTGAGTTCTGATCACCATACGTTTGCCCTTCTCATTTCAGTTTTTCAATTATTCAAACATCTGTGGTCTTGCTTTATTCATAGAATCCTGGAATCCAATCAACTGTCTGGAAGCTTGCCTTCAGAACTTGGTAATTTGCCGAGCTTGACAAGATTGTAAGATCATTTAGTTTAATTATTTTAATCTCGTCACATGTTTTCCCTCCTAAATTCCTTCAGGCGTTTAGCTATTCCCTGGCGCAAAGCTTTTGTTCCACTTACAGAGTTATGGCTTGGCTTGATTTTGATTCTTTCTTATAAATTATTAATTAGAATTCTTTCCTCGAACAACTTCACTGGGGAGCTGCCGGCGTCTCTGGGAAATCTAACCTCTCTGATCGACTTGTGAGCTCTTACAAAATTTCAGTCTTCGAGTTTTGTTTCTAAATTAATTCATACATTTACTTTCTGGCACAAAAATAAATTATTGAAAAATTTCTAATACAACCATGCAGCCGAATCAGTGACAATAACTTTGCAGGACAAATACCCAGATTCATTCAGAATTGGGTAAATATTGGTAAAATGTGAGAGCTTCCCTACATTCTACGCTCAATTCAAAATTCTTCACGATAACCATGAATAGTGTCTCATCAAAGTAATTTGATTGCCACAGACAAATTCAGGCAAGTGGGTTGAGTGGACCTATTCCTCCTGAAATCGGACTTTTGGAAAGCTTAACCGACCTGTTAGTATGCAGTTTTATTTCATGCTTTTATTGTCTCCAGAAAAAGAAAAGAAAAACGTGTTTTTTCTTATATGCATGCATATTTCAACGTGCAGGAGAATAAGTGACTTGAATGGAGCCTCGTCACCCTTTCCATCACTTAATAATTTGACTAAGATGAAAAACCTGTGAGCAGCTCCATTCCTTTATAACTTAACTTGTTGGAAGCACCTCAGCGAATTAATTTTGTCTTTTATGACTTACAGAATATTGAGAAATTGCAATATAACAGGAGTGCTGCCTGATAATTTTGATGGGATGAAATCTTTGAAGATCTTGTAAGTATAAGTTTCCTGCACTTCTCTGTAGCTTCTTACTAGCTCCTACATATTACTTTTTAATATCTTTTATAGATTGAAAAGTTTCCTGGAATTGGAATTATCTTGACTCACATGTCTTCCATGAGAATATTGGGACAACCGTGTCAAGATCTTTTTCTCTTCAGATATTGAAGATTGGAAAAGAATTGGTGCCGTGTGATGAATAATATTGTATGGAGAAGTGAGAAGTTTAGGTGCTTTTCGTTAGTGATACGGAAACAAAAATCTAAAAATTCTTTCTTCAAGTGTGTTTAGTAATATATTTGTAAACTGTCCCCAGGGATAGCTTGGGCCTTCAAGGAATATCCTTGAGGTCTTGGGTTTGGGTTCAAGCCACAAAGAACACAGCTCCACCAAGCAATGACCCCTTGCGTATGTACGAGTATGAGGACAGTGTGATAAGCGTCRAGGTTGCTTGGGTTTACAAAGCTAGAGGTCCTTCTAGGATCCTTGCAAACATTCACAAAAACAACTAACTTACCGAATGATTCCAACCAAGAGTAAGGTTAGAAGATGAATCACTCTTAGATCGGACTTAGAATCTACGATGGTCACTCCTAGATCCTAAGACGACTCACTCCAGAATTAGCTTGATTAAGACTAATCCAATGAATCGGTTTAACATCCAATGAAGCAACACCAAATGTGTTAAGGAACAAAAGTTCTTGAATTCCAATATGTTTAATCTTAAGTTATCCCCATTACAAGCCTTTAAATAGGCCAAATGGTCGTTCAACATAAGAACACCAAAAGTTTTTTCAAAATACTACTTAATGCAAATTGTAGAAAATAAGACATGCAAATTAAAACTTGATTGCACATCATTCTAGACACTTAAATGCAGATCAGAAAATGTAGTCACGCTTCAAATGGTCTTATCTATGTGCTGTAGGAGGCGCTTCACATTTGGATATGGTTTGACAACTTTTGACTTCACAAACTCCAAAGAGGTGCAATCTGCAAAGGCACCTGTTCACGAATCTGCACACTTTTTTTGTCCTCCGTGCCATCTCTCAAAATAGACAACTTTTCCCGTGCCATCTTTGCTCCATTCTCTTCTTGACTCGTTGAAGTAACATTATGAATAAATTCGGGCTCAAAATTCTTTGTTGGTTCTTGTGCATTAACAAGCTTTCGAAGGTGCAGTGTGAAAGCCTCTTGAATCTTCTTGTCTTGCTTCTTGTAATTGCTCCTTTGGTACATGTAATTGGTCACAAATGGATTCGTATCACAGTSTGCCTTCCCCACAAAAGGCCAAAGGGTTGCCGACTTCTAGGTAATCTAAAATTTATATAATTTGAATCACAGCATTCAAAAAACAATTTTAAAAACCAAATATGCCAAAATCTAAAACTTGCCCTTAAAATTTAGGAATTGGGAAAATCTGATGCTTTTTGCTTTTTATTTTATTTTTCACGTGTGAATAATGAGTTCAATCCAAAATTTGATATAATACTTTGGAAATTTTAAACCATACGGTTACCTTATACATATTCTAGAGATGAATTGGGTCATTGCATACGATGTAATAACTAGTTCTCCTTTTCTCGTCTTACTAAATGTTCTTTTTGAAACCAAGGTAATTTACAATTTGGTCTTTGAAGATTAAGAAATAGTTATATATAGCTCTTGTGAGGAGTTGCCCATTAGTTGACTAACGGAAACATAAAGTGGTTGGCTGAGGTGGTAATTTTTACTAAATTTATATTGTTATTTTTGGCTCCAGTCTTCTCTCCTCCTTTGATAAAGGCTCACTACAAAATACTTAGTTCTTGATTGGTGAAGACCTATCTTGTGCTGACCACCACTAAATGTTTTTTTTTTCCTCAATGAGAAACACATTTTTCATTGATAAAGATGAAATATACAAAAGGAGAAAGGACCAAAGGGAGAAGAGCTAGAAAAATGCCCTCCTACTCATCAAAAGATCATTCAAAGTATAAGATGAAAAAGAAGGATAATAACATTTACACCAACTAAGACCTATAACCAAAACATTGTTCAAGAATCTGCTGAATGGTTGGAATTTGTCGTTGAAAGTTTTGTTGTTCCTTATCTACAAAGACATCGAATGAAGGCTCTGATAAGAAGAGACCGTAGAATCTCTTTTTCTTTTCTTAGAAGGTGGCTCCCCAGAGATGCTTGTAGCACTGCTGTGATGTTCGGTATGCAAAGGAGTCTGCCGTTCCAAAAACCTCAATCAGAAAATTCCAAAACTTATGAACAAAATTGCACGGTATGAAAAGGTGGTCTTGTGTTTCCGCTTCATTATAGCACATAATATAACAATTAGGAGAGATGACCAGAGTAGGAAGTCTTCATTGCAATCTGTCTTGTGTGTTTAAGGCTTGGTGATTGAGCTCCCAAATAAGGAATTTCACCTCTTTGGGGTATTGCTCCTTTCAAATATTATTGAATGAAGCATGGGGATGAGACATCTATTTTGAGATTAAATTGTTGAGAAGAGATTTGATCGAGAATGTATTTTTGGAGTCCGTTGCCCGTTGGCCATAACCACTTATCCTCCGAAGATGATGGAGAGATAGAGACCTTTATCGAGATGGAAAATACGTGGCTCCTTAATGGTAAGGAGAAATCTTGTTCTCACAATCATTATTGTTTGACAATTAAGAGATAAAATGCTAAAACAAACATTTTTTCCTTAAATCGAGTGAGTTGTCAATTTTTTAATGGTGGTGAGGACAAGATTTGGTCCTCACTTAAGGAGCCAAGTATTATCCTATTGAGACCTAAAGCTTGCGGTAAGGAGGAATCTTGTTCTCACCACCATTAAATGTTTGACAACTAAGATAGAGAAATGCAAAAACAAACATTTCTTTTAAATAGAACGAGTTATCAATTTTTTCATGGTGGTGATGACAAGATTTGATCCTCACCGTTAAGGAGCCAAGTATTATCCTATTGGGACCTGAAGCTTAGGCAGGGGCTCTTTGATAGCRAGTTGGTGGAGGAAAATAAGAAGTAAAAAAGGGAAGAGAGAGAAAAAGCGGTGGTTTTCATAGCGGTGAATGGTGAAGGATGACTGTTGCAATTTGGATTGGTGGATCAGCAATGGTTGGCATGGCGGCTAGTACTCGTCGAAGGAGGAGAAGGGAAGAAAGAGAGGAAGGGGAAGAGTGAAAAAAATAATAAATCTCATAAACCGAAAAACAATATATTGTTATTAAAAATTTTCACTTTAGTCAACTAATGGTTAATTTAACTTGACTAATATGCAATTTAACTAAGAGATCATTTTAAACTATTTCTTAAACCACTCAAGACTGAAGTGTCACTTTTGATATTTCATAGACAAAATAAAAAATAAGTCTAAACCTTAGGATCAACAGTGTATTATGCCCTTAAAACAACTACGAGTGGTTTGTGCCCCCTTAACACACCTCATCTGACCTTTGTAGATATTTTAGAATTTATTAACATATTTACTTGGACTTGCATTAACATGGCTAATATATTTAAAGAATGAACCTGAGCTTCTTCGATTTCATTTGTACTTCACAAAAATCAATCGTTTTTTCCTTCTTTACATAAATTAATGCAGACCAGATAACAGCTTCAAGTCATTATGTAATTATATTAATTGATGGAAAGTAACATATGAGATGAAAATTATATAAAGAGAAGAAATGCGTTAAGTTCAGACTTTGAAGGCTATTAGGCATTGAAACATTGCATTTAATATGTGTTATTATTTTTGTGATAGAAATTCTGCATTGACTTTAATTGAGCCTCATAATATAATAGACACGTTCTTCTGGTGGTTTGTTGCTGTTGATGAAACTAAATTACTCCCTGAAGAAACCCTTTTGTTCATTGAATTAACAAAGGCATCAGACAAACTTTATTTGAAATTTAATTTTTGCAACTAGCAGTTGGTTCTTACTTTAAACTTTTATGACGTTCCATAAACAATTTCGATTGTAGCCTACTTCCAACTTGGTTCATAGTTCTCCAGTACTAATTCCATGGGGGTTGATAACTTGGAAGTTTCTTTTAATCACGAGTGCTTAATGTGTTCTCACTTTTTTACTTGTACTCTTGCAGAGACCTCAGCTTTAACAAAATAAGTGGGCAGATTCCTACCAGTTTTCGAAGTCTTGTCATGGTGGACGAAATGTAAGAAACTTTATGCAGAAATCTCAATTATAACTGCATGTAGTCATTCTCTCATGGCTTGAGGGGAGGGAAGGGGAGGACTAGTTAATTTGACAAACTCAACTGATCGATGAAATTCATTTTATTTTCAAGATATCCTGCAGAAAGAAATGTGCCAACTGCCAACCTGTATAAAGGAAGAACCCTTATGATTTACTACATCAATACTATATGCTAAGCTAACTGATCGAATTTGATCAGTGTGAATTGTCTAAAGGAAGCAACTAATATCATCTCATATTTTAACAACTTGAGATGCTTAAAAATTTGAGCTCAAATTCTAGAAACGAAGGTATGATGTAGGATATTTTTGGAATTTATCAATGTTGAGATATTCATATATGAATCGAATTTACCCAACCATCATCTTAAACTTTTGAGTTGAGTGGTATTTTATTTATCTTTAACATGGTATCAGAGGAGAAGGTCATGTGTTTTAACCTCAGCATTGTAGTTTCCTTTCCATTTATAATTATTTCTAATTGTTGGGCCTTATGTAATTATCCAAGCCCATAAGTGAGGGAGAGTGTTGAGATATCCATATATGAATTAAATTTACCCAAATCAATTTAAATTTTTAGGTTGAGTGGTGGTTTATTCATCCTTAACAATCAAACAAGATACAAAAGCTTAGTTTTAACCACTGGTTTATATTAGAAGAAATGTTKTATGTGTCGGCTATCCTGTAGCCATGTCAGTAAGAGTCACCTGTACGCAAAGAAAAAAAAGGCAGGAGGAGGCAGAAACTAGTTAGGCAGAGTGTATGGTGTGGGTGGGCCCACCCATTTTGTAATAGGATAGTACGACAATAGGCTGTACTGGAAGGGATTTCTAGGGAGGCTTCGCCCTGAGGAGGGTTTTTACTTTTATGCTGGTACTTGCTTTAGGCTTAGACTCGTTTTAGGAGGAGAGAACCTAGCCTCTTTTAAGTGTTTGGAGAATTTGTTCTCACTGTTTTATTGCTGTGTTAATAAAATTTTTAAAATAGGTCAACTAAGACCGATCAGTATCATGTCATGTCTCATGTTGGATACATGCATTAGAGTCTATATTTATCTCAATGAAGGGGAGAGTGTACTATGTTGCATGAATTATAGTTTATTCATCAGATTCAGAAAGTTGCTACTGGCTAGTAATAAAAAAAATTTCTTTACTTTTTGGTTAGAAATATTTTCCTCTTTTGTTTTTTAATATTGAGAGTACATTTCTTTCAGTAAGATCCATGTTAACACCTCACTCCCTCGACTCCACTTTGCTTTATTTTGTGTCCATTACTAGCAAGCACTTTTCAAATGGGATAATAATTTACATTGTAAGGTTGCATCTTCATGATGGAACTTGAAAGGTCACACTCATCCATTGTACTCATTTTCTAATATTTTCTTGTTTAGTTTTTTAACTGGAAACTTGCTAAATGGATCCGTGCCTGATTGGATGCTGCATGAAGGAGAGAGCATGTAAATTTCCTTACAAACTTTTATTGAGGTTTATGGGAAGGATAAGTTCATTTGATATGCCTGTTGTGAAGATGATTCATTATGTACATTTTTTTTACAGTGATCTCTCTTATAATAAATTTACACCACTCTCTACGATCACTGGGTGTCAATCAGGAAATTTGTAAGAATGTTCTTTTATCTTTCCAATATCTTCTTATTATACTAATTTTGTTTAGAAGATGTATAATTTCTTACTATTCCTTGTGCAGGAACCTGTTCGCAAGCTCTTCCCTGGACAATAATTCGTAAGTTTAAGTTTTCTTGGGTATAATCATCTACTTTTGTTTATATAGTTGGTACGCCACTTATATTAATTTGGTACTAACTAGTAACTACTATTTTTTGATTAGTGGCCTTGTATCTTGTTTGTCGAACCGCAGTTGTGCCCAAGGTGAGTAGAAATTTGTCATTTTCATATGCATGATTGTTGCAATTGCAATCATGGGAGAGGTTGAAGAATGTTGAAAACTGGAATGGTTTTCGACTCATTGGTCTATTTCCCATCGCAAAGCTGCAAAGCTGCAAATGTGATTTCTGTTTTCTTTTTGTAATATCGATAAGCATGTTGATATTCTTGCAGTGCAGCGCCATCTCCATATAAATTGTGGTGGGAAGGAAGAAACCATTGATGATGTTAAGTTTGAAGGAGATAATGATACAGGCAAAGCATCGCAGTTTTTCTCAAGTAAAACAAATTGGGGATTTAGCAATTCTGGTACTTTTATGGATGATGACCGAAGTACAGATGACTACATTGCTAGGAATTCATCTGCGTTGTCTATGATAAACTCCACACTGTACGAGACTGCTCGAATTTCTCCAATGTCTCTTACATACTATGTGTATTGCTTGGCAACTGGAGATTACACGATCCACCTCCATTTTGCAGAAATAAAGTTTACTGATGATAAAAATTATAGCAGCCTTGGAAGGCGTATTTTTGATGTCTACGTGCAGGTAATTAATGACATTTTGCTCCCCACCCAAAAGATTCTGATTTTTTTTTTTTAATTTTGTTTTAATGGTACTCAAATACTTTCTCATTACAAGCTCAAAGTGCCTTGATTGAAATTCAATATTGTAGGGAAGACGGGTGCTGAAGGATTTTAATATTGCAGATGCTGCAGGAGGTGTAGGTAAACCTTTCATAGAAAAGATTCCCATTGCTATTACTAGTGGTACTTTGGAGATACGATTTTATTGGGCTGGGAAGGGGACAGTTGCTATCCCTACGAGGGGAGTCTATGGTCCTCTAATTTCAGCCATTTCAGTAGTTTCTGGTACGTTGAGTGACATTTTAATTCTCTTCTCTCGAGTTCATTAGATCTTTTTTTGCCCATATGTTATTTTGACTCCATTTCAGTCCATATGTTTTCTATCTATGCTGTTATTAAATTCAACAAATACATTTATTAGTTTCAATATTCATATATTCTAATAATTAAAGGTTACAGCATAACCAAATTAATTCATTAGTCCAAATGCATATTTCTTGCATATTCAGGTAGAAGAACTAATTTTTAGGGAAACAAAATTACTAAATTAGATTAAAATTTTTAAAACATCTCATAATCTTTGGTAATCACATCCTCTCCTGTCTATCACAGCTTGCCACCACTTTAAGCTTAGAAATTTATGCTAAGTCAAGTATTAACAACACTCAATAAGCTAAGATGCAAAATGATCCAAAATTAGATAAGCAAGATAGCATCCTGACATGTTATCTCTTATTGCACAATAGTCCTAGAACTCATAAGTCATAACTCATTAGTACATTTTTGTTACTTCAACCCAACATAGTTCCTTTTTCACTAAAATTAAAATTTCTCGAGTGGGTATATCATCACAAAATTATTAAATTATCCCTAGGAGAGGGATATCATCTTACTTTACCTACAATTTTATGCAATWATTGTCTCTCATCTCTTGATGCAGACTCTCCATCAGGAGGCCGGAATACCTTACCTGTAGGTGCAGTTGTTGGGATTTCGGCTGCAGTTGCCTTCTTTATAATTTTGGCTCTCGGAATTTTGTGGTGGAGAGGCTGTCTTGGAAGGAAGAGTACACATCGACAGGGTAATTTAGATTAACAAATTTGCCAAAATTGTGAGTGTTATATGTTAGAATTATATTCTAGGATTCAAGGTTCAACTATCTAATTTTAAAAATTTAAAATTTTGGGTTCAATGTGCAAACAATGATAACTAACTGTAGTGTGAGATTCTGTTTTTCTGGGTATGGCACAGTCTAAAAGTCTGTTTGTTATCAAYTTATCATGAAATGAAAATAGACAACTTCATAGATATTGACTATTGTTTCAAACGCATTGGGCTTCCCATGCAGATTTGAAGGGTCAAAATCTGCGCGTTGGTTCATTTACATTAAAGCAAATCATAGCTGCAACAAATAACTTTGACGCTTGCAATAAGATAGGGGAAGGTGGTTTTGGACCTGTTTATAAGGTGCTATCACTAATTCACTATTTGACTTGATTTGTAAACTTTTCTTTTCGTAAAATTTAAAGATTGGATGCAATATTTTTCTGTTGTAATACAGGGTCGTCTCTTGGATGGCACCATGATTGCAGTGAAACAACTTTCTGCAAGATCACAACAAGGAAACCGCGAATTTGTGAATGAGATAGGCTTGATATCTTCTTTGCAACACCCAAATCTTGTTAAACTTTATGGATGCTGTACTGAAGGAGATCAACTTTTGCTAGTATATGAATTTATGGAAAATAATAGCCTTGCTCAAGCTCTCTTTGGTAAGTTTTGCCTTATAGGGCTTGCCAGGACTAATTTTTATTTGAATTATAAATAAAGTATTGACCATCTCTCTTAATATAATAAATTTAAGGAGCTCAAGGATGTCAATTGAAGCTGGATTGGCCAACAAGGCAAAAGATTTGTATTGGTATAGCCAAAGGTTTGGCTTTTCTTCACGAGGAGTCAAGATTGAAGATTGTTCATCGAGATATCAAAGCTACTAATGTATTGTTAGATAAAAATCTCAACCCCAAGATATCTGACTTTGGTTTGGCCAAGCTTCATGAAGAGGAAAACACCCATATAAGCACTCGAGTTGCTGGAACATTGTGAGTAGCTAACCTATGATTAAGTGATTCTCCCTACATTCATGGAATATGCTTTTGCTTTATTTAATTTTTTCTTACTTAGTGCCTGAAGACCTAGTACTATGGAACTTGCAGAATTACATTGTCAAAATAAATAATTATCAGATAAATTTGTTTTTTTTATCAATGCTTTTGTAGGCCACAATCCACCCAAACCCCAAGCCTAAACTAATAGGAACCGTCCCTCGAAACAAACCAAACAACTAGAAATATATTGAAATATAAAAGGTAAAAGAACTACAAACTCTCAAATAATTTGAGGTACTTGGACACTCTCCTCTCTTGAGTATTCATAATCGAGGCTGAACCACATGAAACAATTGTTTACCACATATTCGAGCCGAAACCACATGAAACAATTGTCTACCTCAATCATTTCCTGCTCGCTTTATTTATAACAAATCTCCTAACAACTTTCCTAACTAATTGCTATTATACTCTTTTCCTAATTCRATCCTAATAGTATTCCTATCAAAATAATAGAATAGTTCTTTGTTGTCAAGAAATTTATGGAGTTAAACTTGCTTTGGGCTTTGTATAATTACAGCTTGAACTTTTTACTCCAAACATAATAAATGTTGTCTGAAGYTTTGGAATTAAAATTTTAATGATCCTACAAATGCAAGATAGAAAATATTTGTGCCTAATATCATTATTTTGCAGTGGATATATGGCACCCGAATATGCAACACGAGGCTACTTAACTGAGAAAGCAGATGTCTATAGCTTCGGTGTCGTGGCATTGGAAATAGTTAGTGGAAGGAGCAACACTATATATCGGTCAAAGGATAAGTGCCTTTATCTTCTTGATTGGGTAACTTTATTTCTTTCTTGTATAACTATTCCTTGTTATGGTCGATTATTTTCATTCAACCATGTTAACGATAACACAAGGAAAGTATCTCATTTCTCTTCCTGCCAATGCAACCCGAAGTCTTGGTCTTTTGTGTGAATTTTAACTCTAGGTCCATCCTGATCCTTGCATTGCTTGATAATCACTATGAAAGCAAACCTACCTAAATACTTTTTCTATTTCCCAGGCACTTGTGTTGAAAGAGCAAGGCAGTTTAATGGAGCTCGTCGATCCAAAGTTAGGCTCCAACTTCGACCAGGAAGAGACGATGGCAATGATCAAAATTGCTTTGCTCTGCACCAATGTCTCTCCCTCAGCGAGACCTACCATGTCCTCGGTGGTGAGCATGCTGGAAGGTAAGGCTGCTGTCAAGGAGTTGGTTTCAGATCCTGATGACATGAGAAAAGAGATGAGCGCAATGTGGACCCTTATTCAGCAGAATGAGAAAATAACCGACAACGAGAACAAGGAAGAGAATCCATTGTTTATGGACATGCCAAGTACCAGTTCTTCGACATCRATAAAGAGTAGAAGCTAGACTCTGATACTGCATCCTTAATGGTATGTGATATGTTTAAGCTTTGATTTGTTATATGAGTATCACAATTATTCAACTGAAAGAGATCAGTATAACAAGGTTTAAGGCCAGTTGTTCTTATGCTTGATTCTACTTGAATATGTTGATACGAACCAATTTTATTTATACCACATTACGAAGTCAAGGGAAAATTCGAGAGTTCCCTGCACTCCTTTAAACTCAACAGAGTTACAATACTCAAGATAACGAAAAGCATAAAAGAAAAGTAATGCTCCTCTCCCTTCCTTTTATCTACTATAACAGACCCGCTAACTAACAATATTCCTCGGGCCCACAAACGTTCCAAAATAGACAGCCTCTCCTAATTCTCACGTGCCCTTCCTAACTTCTTATCCCGAGCATACACCTTAGTGATCAGGGTCTATCATATGTTTCTAAGATTTAAAAGCTTCAGTTACTGCTAAGTTGGTTTTATATATTTAATAGATAATTAAACTGTAAATATTTACTTTTCCTATGCAATTGGAGTTTATGTTTTTATRGTATCCTTAGTTAAGGGTGAGAAGAAAGTTTCTCATATTTCTCACCTCTGTTTAAAGGTAATTAGGGTTTTATTTTTTAATAAGAAAATTAATTTTATTTTTTCTTCTAAATGGTATTAGAGAGAGTGGATAAACCCTAACCCTAGCTTTAACCCTACCCCTAATTCTAGCTACCCTACTTTCACTGCCCGATGTTACCGCCACTATTGTTGTCTGTTGTCCCTGTCGTAGTCTTTTTTATTTAAAATTTTTGTTTATGTTTTAATTTTAATTTGGTAACTCAAATGTT